CGGTGCCGATTCTCTATCGGTTCTGCGAACCGAAGAGATGCGCGCCTCTAGTCGCTCGTCCAGTGCACCTTTGATTATGACGGTGAGCGTACGTGTTTTTTTTCCCGCTCTATAAACTTTTCTAAGTCCAAAACGTAGCTTTTGATATATTATTCTCCGTCTCGTAATATTTCACTCTAATGTTTAAATTTTCTGATAAATGACTTTTCAAGGTCTATTTTTCTGTCACCGAGAGTATTTTCAAATATTGGGTTATACGCAAAATCATCAACGAACGATGCTGATTAATTTTTGTCTCTATGAAAGTATTATATTAAAAAAGTTGAAGACTGTATCTTGTTAAATAATATTGATATAATGATTTCAATTGCTTCAATGCGTTTAGAATTGTCCAACGTTTCAGTTGACGGTTTTAAAAATACAATTTTTATCAAAAATCGAACGGATATCGGATTTTAACTATCCAAATCCTACTTTATTTTCTACTTCGATGAAAGAATATCTGTAGCTGCGCCTGTTACTGAAAAAAAAAATAGTTAAAAGTTATCCTGATTTAGAGTAATAGAGGTTGTTTTATTTTTAACCGGCGCATCCACTATTTTTATGAATGGAGTGCAGTACAGAAAATTTATGCGCAAATATGCATTTATAGAGTATGCTATTTATTGAGAATATTAAGGGTTGTTTACTGAACATTCCCTTGTTGTTGGTTTGGTTCTAAAATATATGGTTCGGTAGCTGCGAGCAAAGAAAAATGTTGCGCAGGACTCTACACGCAGACAAGCGCGTGGACCATATGGCTCTAACCGTACAGCTAGAGACTCATTCTGACGCGAGCGTTTAAAATAATTAAATAAATGTGTTGTTTGCTAGAAACAAAAATCCGTTGTTTAATTAGATCAGGTTAACAGAATTTCATGCGAAAATATGATTATACAAGAAGATGCGCTCTTTTTAATGTGTGTCTTCATGATATATTTATAAATTTAATAACTATGTAATATCATTGAATTATTACCAAAGATGAGCATATGTTCTAAATAGCAAGGTTGTATATGCAGGTCAAATAATTTAGACCTTCTGATATTTTTTTTTTGAATTTCAGTTGATCAACGAATTCAATTGACGTGGCATTGAACATAGGCTCTGGTCATAATTGCGACCAACATTTTTTTTTAATAATAATAACATTCTCATTAATATTTTTATGACAATAATAGTAATTTATTAGCCATAACATAAATTTAAAAGAAGAAAATTTTAAAATAATAAATTGTCGATTTAACTTAAAAAAAGTACAACTATCCAATAGGTATTTTCCTCGATTTTTTAATATAGTATTTAAAATTACAATGCAACTTTCAATAAATAATACCACAGAGCTGGAGTTTTCGTGTTATTAAGTTTTGGTCTCTTCTGCGTTTTAATTGATTTTGAGAGATGTTTTTTTAGACTATTTATGGTGTTTCCAGGCATTTCCTTACTTTTGATATTATGTGAATCATCGGAAATTGTTTCACTGTAAAGTAGCCATTCAAAATATTGTTGGGTCTGACTTTGTAACTCACTTCCATCGCATCGAACTTCAATGTATATTTGGTTGCCTATAATAATTTATAAGTTACTAATGAAAAACTGCATTGTGTTGGGAAAGTCTGACGAAAGGTCGTTGGTTCGATTCCCAAAAACCAACACAATTTGTAGGGGCCGATAAACCCGAAAAACTTAATTAACTTATTTAAATATTTTATTCACACAATGTATAAAATATTTAAATATGTATTAATCAGAACTTTGATACTAATAACTCAATAAGTCTATATTTTTTACTTTTTGTGATTCTTATCTTGATCTATTATTACTTAATGTTTGTATTTCATCGAATTACAAGGAATCTCTTATTTACTAACATCTAATAATTTAAAATAAAGTTGTTAGTTAATGAAATTTCGATGAGTAATAGATTATTTGGAATTTACCATAGGAACCGGGGAAAACCAAGGACAGCGTAAGTTGCTTGACCCAGAGGCACGTATAAGATAAACGATGCTGCATTTGTTTATCATTCGAAAACAAGATGTCTAAAAGAGTGCTGTTACTTCTATTCATCTGCTTTGCAGCGATTTCTGCACTTCCGAATAATAAAAAAGTGAAACGTCAGGCAACGCACGAGTTCGGGAATAAAGATTACTACCTTGAATCATTGATAAAAGTATGTTTCTTTAGTTCTGCTTATTGTTTCTTAATTTAATATTCCTTTTCAGGCCAATTTTCATAATGCGTTCATGTTCTGCCAGAGATTAGGCATGCAATTACTTACGATCAATTCCAACGAAGAGTACGATTATCTGTACAAGCTCATTACGACTGAACGTGAGTAGCATCTTTCATTTATGGTTGTTTTTATTTTTATTTTTTTTGTTATTTCTAGTATCTTTTGGCCCGGATTCGAAGTTATGGACGTCCGGAACGGACATAGCACGCGAAGGTAAATTCCATTGGTTGTCAACCGGATATCCGGTCAAAATTAACAAATGGTTGCCCGGGGAACCAGACAACGATAACGGCGAACATTGCATGGAGTTCTGGAACAACAACGGGAATATTGGTCTGAACGACGATAAATGTCACTCCGAGAATTACTTCATATGCGAGAAAAAGAAAAATTAAATTTGGAAAACAGTATTTATCTCATATTTATTTTAAAATAAATAATAACTAGATTGATTTATGGGCAATTATGTATCTTTATTATTTTTTTTGTTTATTTTTTATATTATGCAACTTTAGATTACTTCTAATTTTGTTAAATACCATTCCTACACATAACACTTTGCAATGAAATTAAAGTAACATTCTTATTAAAATCATAAGAATAACTGAAAATAACTATACTATTATATTATAGTACCTCATACCTCAATTAACGAATCCCGTTTCACGAAATAATTTCGTTTAGCCAAACTTCTCGTACAGAAGTAAAAATACTGTGGTTTCAGTTAAGGCTTATCAATAAAACTTCGTGCTAAATCATGTGTCTTTGTTGCTAACAAGGTTTTCTAAATTGATCACTGTTTTCAATCAATTTCTACCATCCTCCTCATCGGCATTTTTGAAACGCAATGATTGAGCAATCAGGATAACATCATTTCTAATTTCTTGATAGTTTTTTTTTTCTAACAAAACATCTGGGCATGTTTTGCATTGGCTTTATATCGGAATCTTGATTCGTTGTCAGAGCTACTGTTACTCGAGATTTGATTGTATAAAAAAATATGATGTTTTAAGTTTAGTAAGAAAGTTATTTTTATAACTTACAACTATTCATTTTCTTCGTTTGTTAATTTTAAATGGAATTAATTTGGAACAATGCTCTAAAGTCTAGTCTTTCATAATCATAATTTATTAATATTAATTGAAAGATAAACACTTACATAAAATAATAATGAACTCTACTGGTGACAATTAAAACAAAAACAAAATATAAAAGATGTCAAGGCATTGGTCCAGTAACCAACCTTAACAATAGTACAATTTTACAACCTAACTGCCAGTTGTTTCATTATTTACTATTCATTTTTCTTTACAATGTGCCGACAGACGTGCCCACCAGTTGCTCTCAACAACAACCTCTTATCACAAGCTGATGTAGCCAAGTACCTGGGTATGCGCCTGGACCGCCGGAGGAACCATATTTGTAAGAAAAATGACTCGCTTAACGAGCGACGTTTCGCATAACAAGTGACGATGAGAAGAGAAGTCCCGGATTGCGCACCTTCTACATCATTTTTAAAACTTGCACATATGTGTATTTTTGAATATGTTTCACTATACGAGTAAAAATCCGGAAAATTTGGAACGGATTAAACTCGTTAAGCGAGTACATTGTGTGTACACGGTACATTGAATGATGTAAAATAAAATATACATTCATGTAAAACACAATTTGAGTGAGAAAAAAAAGAAGAAAGCAGCCAGTGTTTAAACTAGGATGTTTTCAATCAAAAGACATTACGTATTGGAAAAGTGTTGTTAATGTGAGATATTTTAATTATCGGATGGATATTTTGGTTTCGAGGAATACAGAATCTAGAGAGTGAGGCAAGTTGCAATAATCTTGGGTTATTATCTATATTGACCTGACCCAAACAAAATAAACATAGAAGATATATAACGAAAAATACATTTTGACAGTCATATGCAGATTAAAGATGTCGACAAGATTCCTAATTTCTTTGGTGCTTTGTGCCGCAACGATTTACGTACTTCCGGAAGGCAGAATTGTCAAAAGACAGGTAACTCATACGTTCAAAAATAAACAATACTACGTCGAAACTCTGGTCAAGGTAAGTTAGTTCTTTAATTTCGCCTTGTTTCCAATTCAATCTTAATTTCATCGATTAGGCAAACTTCCATAATGCATTCATGTTTTGTCAACGGTTGGGAATGCAACTGCTCACAATTGATTCCAACGACGAATATGACTACATCTTTAACACAATTAAATCTGAGTGTAAGTAAACAGCATATTATTAATATATTATTAATTTTATACTTTATAATCAATAATCACCGAAATAAACAAAACTAATGTTCAATACTATTAAATAATAGAATCAAAATAATAACGGAATGAATTGGATTTCAATTGTAGTTAATTTTGGACGAGACTCGAAACTGTGGACTTCCGGAACGGACTTGGGACATGAAGGGAAATTTCACTGGCTTTCCACAGGATTTTCGATGAAAATAAATAAATGGTTGTCAGGACAACCGGATAATGACCATGGTAGAGGTGAACATTGCGTCGAGTTCTGGAACAACAAAGGATCAATCGGGTTAAACGATGATAGATGCCACATTACAAATTATTTCATCTGTGAAAAACGGACATAATCTAAAATAAACTTATTTATTTATAAAACAATATATTCATATTGTGCATATTGTTTACAATTAACATTAAATAAAACACATTTGAAAGTTGTTTCACTTATTACCTTATTCAACAGTAATTGTAGGTAAATATTTTAAACATTTCTTCATAGAATATTTAAGAAATCTGCACGGTCACTATTAAAGTCATTTAATAATGGAAAATGAATTGAATTATTTAATAGTAATTGATTTTCATAAAGCTTGAGTTTTGTTACGAAAGATTTTATATCTTGATAACATTCAGTAATGAGCTTATTTTCATTTAATTTTGATCATTAATGATTATTTTATTGTATGAATACCAAAATTCAAAATATAGAAAGCTGAAATCCTCAATTGGGCCGCGGTTTGGCCAAGCCTGTTCTAAACAATATTATTTATGTAAACATTGTATCCTCTCAAAATATCATCAACAACTTTTCCAGGTGCTTTTTTATATCGACTAACAACTAAACGTTTTTGCAGTTAATGAAATATTGACCCGAATAAGTGAAATATGTGCATTATATGGTGAAAACTACGTTTGAAGTAATAAAGTCTTAGTTATTAATGCCGTAAAGTAGCATTTTTGTTTAAGTATCAAAGACTAAAATACACTTTGTTTTCGTTCAACTTCAACTGACACAAATCATTTGATACGCACTAAACTTATTTCTAAAGACGCTTTAAATGTCTGAATTTGTGTGAACACTTTGCGAAAATAGGCATGAACTGTCCGAGCAATCTTTTTAGAGCAAAAAGTCAATATATTGTGTTGGCAACTAAACGATTGCGGATTTTGTCCACCTATTGTCTTAGCACATTCTTTTGTATTGTCAAAACCATCTAACATATTGTTTTTAATTGTTGTTGTTTAATTTAGTAAGAAAAATTGTATCTATTAGTTATTTAGTTTTGTTTTTATTCTAATTTAAAAATGGAAGAAGAATACACGCATTTCAGACATATTTTATTGTATTATTTCTGAGATTTCATAACTTCTTGTGTGCTTACGATACAAGAACGTATCGCAAGCACGAAGTTATGTGCCGTAAATGGGAATGAAGCCTTGAAAGAAAGGCAGTGTCAAAATTGGTTTGCCAAATTTCGTTCTGGTTGTTGATGAGACTCATATCGATTCAAATCGTGATAGCACAACATGTGAGATTGTAAAGAAGCTCAATGTATAAATAAAACAGGTTAGCAAATATTTTGAATTTTCCTTCTTACTTAAAATACACACACACACACACTTAGTTGTCAACCCAATATCTTAACGCAGTCTAATTTTTTTTTTGGTTACTTTATATTTAATTAATTTTTCAAAAAATACCACCTAAAAATGAAAAATCACACTGTAAAGAAAATATTTAAATAATATTTCAAGTCTATTTTTCATTTTTTTGTTGTTGACTGCAGTAACGCAATATAATAATATTTATTGCAACAATAAATCAAGAAAATATAAACTCAATGCAATAATATAACAACAAAAACTTAAATTAAACTGTTGCAAAGGTGTATTAACGTTTATAATTTGATGTTAGGTATCATAAACAATAATGTCTGGTTGAAAATTATGAACACACACATTTTTACTCTAAATTGAATAATTAAAAACTTCGTTATTGATAATATCCGAAAGTGCAGATCTGATTAATTAATATTACTGAAAAGGTTATAACTTTATTCTAAATTAAATGAAACAACATTTTTGGAAGACGTAAAAAAAAGGTTAAAAATTTCTAACGGAGAAACAATAAGTTGATTTCAAATATGATGGTCGCGTTTTTTGAAAAATGAACCAATAATTTTGTAAGATATCAATGGATGAGAAATCAGAGTTTAAGAAAATGGATTTATTACCACCAAAAATATAAGACGAATTACAACATCGAAATACAAGTACTTAGTACAATACATACTATCCACGACTTCTTCTGGAAATTTTATAATTTTAACTATATAAATTATTTCCTGAAGATTTCCTGAATTACATGAATTGTGTTTTTGAAGTGTTGTAAACATATATAAAACAAATTGAGTATTGTTATTCCAATTTATAGCATGTATAGTATAACATAATAAACTAGAGCTCTTTCAAATTTTATAATAAATATGATTCATTTTGAAAGTGGCTTAAGAAAACACATATTATTCATTTAATAATTATTATTATTTTCATAGGAATTTAATAAATTTAACTCTCTTAGATACATTTATGCTGTCTGACACATTTATATCCTATACGTATACAGTGGAACCTCGCATAACGAGCATAATAAATTGTAAGAAAAATGACTCGCAAAATAGAACGTATATAACATTAGTTTATATGGGGAAAATTGTTTTACTATACAAGTAAAAATCCAAAAATTTTGGAACTAGGATAATTCGTTAAGCGAAGGTCCACTGTATTTTTAATTTTATTAAAATGCAATCTCCTAAATATCTCAATTTAAATATAAATGGACTTAGGTTACTTTCAAAATAAACGGCTAAACATTTGAGGAATACTAATTAAATACAATTTAATTATAATTGAATTGCATTTGTTAAAATTATTTTTCACGGATTACTATACAATTTTTTTTTAGATTATACATAAATTACACAAGAAAACATATACAAACAATTTTATATACTGCTTTGTTAATTTGCAGAACTTAAAAATTGCAAAATAAGATATACAATAAACTAATGGTGAGATAAAAACAGCGATAAAAATATCTTCTCATTTTTTTCATTTAAATATTACTTTGAAACAAACTTCGTTAGTGCAAAATATTTCTATTTTGCAAAAGAATAAACATGAGATTCAAACAGTCCCAATTCGAGACGTGGACTTCTAGCAGCCACTAGACGCAATGCTCATCTCTAACAACCATTTCTTTATTTTGATCGAAATTCCAATGAGAAAATTAACTTCATGTCCTAGAAACGTTTTGACTGAAGTTCACATTATCAATTCTATTCCAAAATTAATTGCAATAGTACCCAAATTTTAGCATTAGATTTTATTTTTAAATTAATTGCACTGTTTCAGTAAGTTTTATTTACGATGGATCTAATACAAGTTCTCTATTAGGCGTTATTTTATTTCTTTCTGTAAAAGCAAAAGTTGTTTGTCAATTTGTTAAAAGTCTAACTCAATAAATATCCTCATATAAATAAGGTAAAACTTCGCTGTGAGAGTCGATTAACAGAAATGTATAGAAAATGTATTTGTTTAAAAGAAGCGTACAAAAAGGCTAAATCTCACTTCAACTACATTTGGATTACACTAAAATTATTTGTGTTTAGTTATATTGTGATAATAAAATAAATTTAATATTTTTTGTATTTAATTTTAGATTTATTTCATTTTTTTTCGCAAATGTATACCATATTTTCGGATTAACTTGTCCCTATTAATAATATCTTTGATTATTTTGAAAAAATATATGATATTAAAACTTTGATTCATCGTTTGATTAATGCAAAAATATAACCTATATAACTGTTGATGATAAACATATTTATATTTAACAGAACATATGTATGCAATTCAATTTATTTTATAATCATTATTTAATAGTTCTTGAAAATATATCAGTAAAAAAATGCTTAAATGGAGTTTGGCATAAAATATGGTCAGAAGTTTTTGTAATGAAGTTATCCAGATGGCTGAAACAATGTTAGAAATTAAATTATTAAATACAGAATATGATGGTTTTTAAGTTAGCAACGAAGACAAAATAATATATTCGAAGAATTCATCGATTCTACATTGACTTAAATCATCTGTTAGTATTTTTAAATGTTGAAGTACTTCGCTGATATTCGAAGTTTCAAATGTTATTTTTAACAAGCCGATCAAATTTTGCAAAAATTAAAAAAAAATCCGTTGCTGATTTCATATAAACATTGTTCATGAGCATATATAGTTTTATTTGTAAATAATGCTGTTCGAAGCTGAGCAAAAATATGTACTATATTTAATATGTGTGGGATTTCTCATGTTTGCTGAATGATAAATGTCGCCAATATTTACGCCCAGTTTAATGATTTACTTGCGACTTGCCAAACAGAATAAGGTTTATTTTGAAATTCAGTACAGTAACCATAATATAATTGACAACTTTCTCCCTGAAACATGTCTAGAAATATCCCATTTCTTTTTAAATTTGAGTAAAGCAATGTTCTTTCTGTTTTCTGGTCAATATACGGAACCACGAAAATGGTTCAACTAGTCGCATAAGCCCTGAATACTGTATATTTAATGTTCACTTCTATTCACTTAATTAATGTTTTGTTTTTGTTTCATACTTTACTTCTAAATTGTTAAATTTGTAATTGAGATAGATGCAAAAATAATTTGGGAAACACAGATCTAATACTATGCAAATGTTGTGAAAAATACACGAAATAATATAATATCCTTTCGAGAAGGTAACTCACTCATTAGTGTATACGGCTTTTCACATTTGCAGAGATTAGGAATTTCCAAGCGATAACCCGCTCGAACCGGGGGAATTACTTTTATAAGAAACGATATAAGTGCATGGACCCATCAGTTTTGCGTCAGTCTTCCACATCAAAATGTCACGTATTTGCGTCTTGTTTGTGTTATTCGCGGTTTGCGCCACAGCATTTTCGCAGCCAGGTATTCGGAACAAACGTCAGTCCAATGACTTCCGGAACAAAAGTTATTACGTCGAATCATTGATAAAAGTAAGATTTTTTACCTTCAATTCATTGTTTCAAAATGATAGAAGTCATTTTTCTCTAGTAAATAACGTTAATATTACAACATGTTATTTGTTGTTAGGCATACCAACTCCCATGTTTAATTATAATGAAGGTTTAATGTAATCAAATTACATCTTAGATTGTTCAAAATCTTGTATATTTAGTTAACAATATCTACATATTAAAATAAAATAAATATAGTTAGTACTTTGCGACAAAAACAGATGAAACTTTACAAACATTTCTTTCAGACAAACTTCTTCAATGCGTTCATGTTTTGCCAAAGAATGAACATGAGATTGCTGAGCATCGCTACCAACGAAGAGTACGATCACATCCTCAATATATTAAGAACACAAAGTAAGTGAATTAAAGATGTTACGTGGATTAAATTACAAATATTGCATATTGTTTTGCAGTTCAATTTGGCCCCGATTCGAGACTGTGGACGTCTGGTAACGACTTGGCGCAGGAGGGTAAATTCGATTGGCTATCAAGCGGACATCCGGTATTGATAAACAAGTGGTTGCATAAGCAACCGGATAACCGGGACGGCGTAGAGAACTGCGTCGACTTCTGGAACGAGAACGGAGTTATTGGACTGAACGATGACCATTGCGGCGTTTTAGCTTACTTTATTTGCGAAAAACAAAAATAAAAACTCACAAATAATTGATTTCTTTGCTCTGTTTTCTATATATTTTTTTTTTATCTACAAGACTAAACCTGATCAATACTTTTTTTTATATATAATAATAACTTAATATTTCTGTTTATGTTTTTTTTTTAATTAATTTGATAAGTAACTTTTGTAATATAATTCCGCACCAAAAAAAAACAAGATGTGTAAATTATAATATCAAAAGAAAATTATTAAATAATTAAAAGTAAAAACAAGCTTATTTATTATAATAATAAAAATAATAATATTTATGACAATAACAATAAAATTTAAAAATGTACATCATTGGAATATTCATTGATGTAATTCAATTAGGAGCAGATTTGGACAAGGTTTTTACACATAGTATAGCCAATTGTAAACACAGTTTTATTAGAAAATTTCAGAAGCTTATTTATCATATTTCTTTTAACTGTAAGCAGTTTTCTACTGTTTGTATTGTGTGATGCGTGAATATAATTTGATATTTGCAACTATTTCTTAAAAACTAAGTGAATTTGAGATAAATATTATGTCAGAGAAAAGTATATTCAAATGTATAAAATTTAATAAAAAAAATGAAAAGTTGTTTGTAATTAAATTATATAAAAGTAACAGTGATATGTTCTAATTTAATATTTAAGAATATATTTGCACTAGGTTTTTAAATATATTATTATAAAACATATTATTGGAATTACGATATTATTTTATTGACTTTCGTCAATTCTTTCAAAACAACTCGTAACAACAAATAATCGATTGTACGGATCTGGATATACTCAATTGTGGAGAATAGAAATTTACAAGCGATAATCCAAATGAACTGGGGGATTTACTTTTATGATAAAGCTATATAAGATCATAGACCAATCAACTCTCCAAATAAAAATGCCATACATTTAAATGTCTGATTTATGTTATTCGTGATTTACGCAACAATCTATAAATCTTGGATATAATTACTTGTATAACTGGTTGACTATATGAACAAATTAAAACAATAATTTATAGTTAGTTTTTATCGCAACAATACGAAACGAAGGGACAAGTTCGAATGTGAGATCCAATGTTTCTCTTGCTTTGTGGGTTGTAAAAATGGGACCGTAATGATTAAAAAAAATAAACTATAAAAGCCTGAATATTAACTTCTTTAAAAATTGATAACGAGTAATTGTTTAACGAGCAAAACGAATTCTAATAAGAATGACTCGCTTAACAAGCGACTATTCACATAACGAATGACGAGAAGAAGATAAACCCCTGATTGTGCGCTTTTTATACCATATTTCAAACAGACATATTATGTGTGATTTTTTTTTGTGCAAACTTTAAAAACCCCGAAAAAAGAAACACAAGCAAAAAACGAATTAAATATGTATCATAAATAATAAACAATTTATTTTGCTTTCTGCACATCGAATTCATATTCCAAACTGTAACTACACTTTTCTAATTCATTTTATAATAATAATGACAGCATTTATTGCAAGAAATTACTATAATACAAACTCAACAAAATAACCATAGGACTTTCTGCCCATGTTTTTATAAATTTCATAACAGTATTCAATAACAATCATATCACAATATATGTCTGACTATAACATTGATATTCTGATACATCAAGTGAAATAAAAAGGATTTTTCTACACTTCAGAGTCAAATCGGTTATCAACTGAGTTGACAGCGAACGGAATTCGTATTTTGGGATGATCACGGAATTTTATACATTGATTACCTTGAGAAAGGAAAAAATATCAATAGCAAATATTATATGGCATTATTGGTGCGTTTGAAGGAAGAAGTTGCAAAAAAACGACCACAAATAAAAAAGTGCTTTTTCACGAAAACAATGCACCTTGTCACAAGTTGATAAAAAAAATCATCCACCGTATTCCCCAAATCTGGCTCCAGCGACTACTACCTGTTTGCAGACTTAGAAAGAATGCTCAAGGGAAAGAGATTTGGCTCCAATGAAGAAGTGAAACTGCAGCTTATTTTGAGGACAAAAATAAATCGTTCTGCAAGGAAGGTATCGAAATGTTAAAGAAGCGTTGGAATGAATATATCACTATTGAAGGAGACTATGTTGATGAATAAAGTCGAATTTTGCCCAAAAGTTGTTGTTTTATTAGTCATCCTACGAACTTGTTGAGTGAGGTGCGTACTAAAACTACGAATTATAAATATAACTCCTAATTAAATTTAAATTAATTCTGTTTAAATAAAACAATTACAAAGTTGTCAACATTCCCAATTCTAATAAATTGAATAGTATGATTTAGTAACAAAAAATATGTTTTGTACTAATTTCACAATGAACAATACTAGATGATTTTATTTTTCATGTGAAGAAATGATACATGAAGAGATTGCAGTGTATGCAATTTCAGACACACAGCGTTATCATACAGAGGTACTTTCATAATGCATATTTAATTTTCATTTTTTTTACCAATTTCAAGAGTTTTGTATAAATAATAAATGAAAATATATCTTTTTATTTCTTTATTTTAATTGAGAAATGTAGAAATTAATAAGTAGCAATCATTGGAGCAAAAAATCTCTGTACTAATGTTTACGTTTGTATCCAATATATTCACACTATTACTGATACTATACATACTTTTTATTAGTTTGAGCTGAGGTGCGCGGTTTATAATAAAATCCTTAAAATGTTTTGAATACGGATCTGTATGTTTACTGCAAAAAACTAGTTTCTTATCAAGATGATATTCAAATGATAACCCTCATGACCTGATCTGCCGCTATATAAAATAATGTTAACTATGAAGAGAGAGTAGTTCAAGATGTCACGAATTTGTGTTGTTCTCGTGCTGTTCATTGTCTGCACTCAGGCCCTTTCCCTAGCAGAAAGTCGGCACAAAAGGCAGGTCACCAATCAGTTCAGGAATAAAAACTATTATGTCGAATCATTGATCAAAGTACGATTTATTTAAATTCTAAAAAAAAACATTTGTTTCACGCTATTTATGTTGCAGGCAAACTTCTACAATGCGTTCTTATTTTGCCAAAGGTTGGGTATGAGACTGCTTACTATTGACAATAATGAAGAGTACGACTATATTTTGAACATTTTAAGAACACAAAGTGAGTTATTACTATAATTTCGTATTGCTGGACAAAAAGAAATTATTCTTACTTTTCAGTTCAATTTAAGCCGGGCTCGAAGTTGTGGACTTCGGGTACTGATCTTGCGCAGGAAGGGACTTTTCACTGGATGTCCACCGGTTTTCCGGTCCTGATAAATAAATGGTTGCCTAAACAGCCGGACAATGGGTCAGGTAATGAAAATTGCATCTGCTTCTGGAACAACCGAGGTACCATCGGGTTCAACGATGAGCAGTGCACTGATGTTGCAAATTTCATCTGCGAAAGTCCAAAACTTTAAATGTCATACTAAGCGATACAGTTTCATGGAATTAAATCAAGAATATGTGTAATATCTAAATTTAATAAAATGGATTCTAGAATTTTGTGCGATTTTCGGAACTTCTGTTAGGCGAAGTGGGCGAAATCGGGTGGGTGCAACACCACGGATTCCTTTTGTCCGAATCAATGTCATGGCCTCCTCCTCCTCATTATTATAAATATTGATTCTCTTATTTTATATCTAGTGTGTCAATTAGGCATATTCAACTACTACAATTATTTTATAATGTAATTTATTATTTCTTTAAGAATGATTCAAGTAAATGAAGCTCTCTTGATTTTATGTATTTACATGTTGGGATGGCGACTGTTGCTAATAATGAAGTATATTCAGCAAATATTACCATTTTTGTAGTATTGTCTTTACAACGTTTGCTGTATTAATTTTTTATTTAAATACATACATAGGATGGCCGGAATTGTTCAAACATTATATAATTGAAGTAACCTTTTGTTTTAGCTAAGAAAATATAATAGAACCTCGATATACAGACATTACCTTTTTCTACTTCGAGCCTACTTGAAACTTTTTTCTCAAACAACCCCTAAATTTAAACCACTTAAATTTATATTTTATTTTTCAAAAATCCATCGACCTCAAGGGGTAATAAAATTCATAAATTCTGCATTTTTAATATGCTCTGATTTGTACTTAATTGTCTACTTATCTATTTCAATATAAATAAATGCAGATTATTTCAATTATATAATGGAAAGAAAAAAAAACATATTTTACAGAAATAAAATAGTTTGAATTTTAAGGTTGAATTGGATTGATGAACTTTACAATAAATCGACTGGAAAGTGAACATTTGCCTTATTTTAATCTAAATAGATCTGTCTGAGAATATTATTATGATAAGCATTTTCTGAAGTTTGGTTACATGTATGAGTTCTACACAATTTAACGGACAAAAATTACAACACAACAATACCCTCATGTTTATTTTACAACTTAATTGTTGGTGTTAGACTTACCCGCAATATTTAACAAACAATGAATCTTCCGATTTACACTTATTCGGGTCTTTGCAAAATTCTATTAACCGTAAAACGTTAAATTCTTAGTAGACATAAAAAATCACATGGAAAAGTTATTTTTTACAAAAACCCTTATAAATTCAAGGTGAATCATATCGAGATATAAAAGTTTTCAATTTTAATTTTAGAGAAAAATCGGCACGATTATTCCGGACGATCCAATTCTGATGTTTGTACAATTGAATTTATTACAAATTTATTACAAGCTTTAAAGACTTCTTATTGAGACGTAATTTATGCACATGAATCATTTTTACGAGAATTTCGTAAACATATTATCAATAATTTACTTACTTATTTAAATAAGCACTAGGTTTTTTGTTGTCATTGTATTATTACTAACATCTGACTTAATATAAAAATATACCAAAAAGAGCATCTAATGTAAAATGGACAATTTAAAACTCTAATTTTCTCTCTATAATTAATTTAAATATTGTTGATATGTCACATTTTCAAGTATAAGTCAAACATGAGAATATGTAAAAAAAATATAAGATTTAAAACAAATAAAAAAATCATAAAACAAATGCTATCCCATGTGCTATGCTATGTTAAAGAAATGGCAACAAAGTACGTTTATTATATACTTACTTTGTTGCCATTTCTCCAACATGCGAGAAACAAAATTCAGATTTTTGTTTTGGAGGTTTTGTTTTGCAATTCGAATTGCATATGACTTAATGTAATTATTTTTTTGATGAGAATATTTCAATTTTAATGTAAATAGACTCACGTTAATTATTTTCTACAATATTATAATTTTGAAAATGCTTTGTAAATTGCCAATTGATTTATCTATTTATACATTGTTGTTTTCTTACTGCCAACCTTTTATTTATATTAAAAATGATTATTTTTTTAAAGTAATTTGCAATATTTTATATTTTAACAAATTTTCTTGTTTGGAGAATGCATGATTTTTTATAAGTTTATTAACATTTGGAATATTAAATATAAAAATACTTAAATGAAAACACAAACTATCTCTATATTTAGTTCAATAAGTGGACCAATTAAGCTCACTTTTGTTTCTTATGAGAATGCATTTTTTTACTATAAGTTTTGTAACTTTTGAAAAAAGTTCTTCAATATCATGCGAGTAAACTTGTTGCATATACTTTATTCAAATGAGTGGAGCAAGTTTCAAAAAAATAGTATGAATCACCGTGAGGTTCGTGTGATTTACAAAACGCAGAGCGAAAGATATTAACGGAGACCACCTGTCTGCCTTAGCATTAATGAATTAGGAGCAGTATAATATTAAGGATCAGATGATTACGTGATATTCGTAGAGATCTCGGAGATACGTGCAATGCACGTGGAGTCAAGAGCGAACGAGACAGAAAAAAATGTGTATTGCAAGCGTAAGAAATTTGTTATTCAATCAAGGTTGTCGGCATGTCGATCGCATGTGCGCCGTAAAGTCAGGAAAAACGAAGGAAATCGCCGGAAAATGATGCCGTCCGATTTTCCGACAGCAGCGGCGCGCAGTCAAAAAGACGTATCACCGATTTTCGCTACCATTTTCCGGCATCGCCTGCTGCAAATCTGCCCACACAGGACCAGTTGCTAGGGAAGAGAGGCACGACTTTCTCGCGCCTTCTCTGTTTTTGCGTTTCTTTATATATATGTTTTTTTTCTCTCTCGTCGCGTTTTATTTCCCTTAAACCAATTAATAAAAGTTATTTTAAATAATACACGTAATAATTTTTCCTTTTTTTTTTCATATATTTTTTTTTTGGAATGATTAAGTGAACTGTGCCACGGCCGTAACGCCAAATGCGGCGTTAAAGTGTGCCCAAAACGAAAGAGCACATACTCACATCTCATTATTACCTTTCAGGTGTCTCGCGAAAAAGGCAAAACCACACACATACACCTCTGACATCAATCAAACGAGAAGCACGAAAAAAAAAGAGAAACAACATAAAGAAGTGAATATAAATCTCCGAAACTCTTTCCCATTGAACTCGACGTTTGTCTTGTATTACTCAATGTTATTTTTAAGTCGCATTTCATATTTACGGCTTTTTTTTGGAATTATTGTCGCCAGTCTGGTTACATTACTTTATTTGCTTCCAACTTATTTCGCAAAAGATTATAAAATATTTTATGATGGAAATATATTAAAATACTATCAAAAAATGACAAACTAAAATTGCTGCAAGGAACTTCACAATTTGAAAATATTAAAATATGTTTTAGATTTAAAAAACTACTCGATTGATATACAACAATTATCAGGATTTTATTAAGTAGAGCAAAAATCAAATTAAAGAATTTAGTTTCGATGTCTTTAAATCAAAAGTTCATATTATTTCTGTGTTTTGTAAATTAAAACACTGTTATATGTTTTTGAACATTTCTTTTATATCACGGTTCACTTGATCCTATAGTTAAACTTAAGATTGATATATGCATTTCTTGTGCTTATCTAATATCGAAAATAATATCAAAAGTGTACAATTTGAGATGACCATTTAAAATAAATAATACAAAAAGGAGAATGAAAACTTCACTTAATTGTATTAATATTTGCTCATTTTCGTCAGTTCTGTACTAATGTTTACAAACTATTAAAAAAAAACCTTTCTTAAATGTTTTGTTTATTGGCAATTTTATTAACTTTAACCCTTTTTAGAGGCCGTAGCACATTTTTAGCTTTTTATAAGTCAAATCTATGTTTTATATGAGAAAATCTGGTGGAAGTTTTAATGAATGGAAACGTTTATTTTTTTGTCATATTATTAAACTATTGTCAAAATGTATGTAGATAATATTACGCCAATCTTTGCAGTTTCTATCGACATAATACCTTATGAATTGAATTGAACGCAACCAAATTAAAACTGCTATAACTTTTAAACCGTTGGCAATGTTGTGTCCATATTTCGCCTAATGATAGCTGATTTTATTGTTTACAGGCCTGGGGAAACATTTGCATCTCAGTTTTTTTTTGGAAAAAAATTTATCAGTGATGGAATTCAAACGTAATAGCTGTTGCACTTGCACGAACGCAGCCAATTGCCAAATATCGTTTTGTCTGATGAGAAAATTGGGAACTCCCAATTGAGAAATTCTTAAACAAATTACTTAGAAAAGAGTTCAAAAAAAAATTTAGACATTCGAATGGCAACAAGGAGTCAAGTACCAACGTTTGTGGTAGTTTGGGAGGCTTTGGTGGTCGATAGTCCCTCTCCGTTGATGTTTTTGGATCGTGGCGTCAATGTTAATGCGAATGTCCACTACAAAAACGTTTTGGAAGGTGCTCTGAAGACGTGGACAACCAAACATTTCAGTCAGAAAGAGTGGACGTTTCACACTTCATTTCTACCGCACAATTGCCCGTCCGATCTGATCGACTTCTCGGTATGGGTCATTTTACAGGCCAATGTCAGTACTAAAAAATACCTGTGTTAATGTGTTCAATAAAGCCTTTCTTCATGAATGGATAAGGATTCCGCAGGTTCACATTCGTGCAGCGTGTGACTTGCTTGTCGACCAACTCAGAGCCATAGAAAATTTGAAATGACTTCAAAAAATTTAATAGTTTTCCAACATTTTTTGCTTTTTGTTCATAAAATCCAATTTCAAATAAAAAAACAGTTGCAGTTCAATTGGGCCATCCTATTAAAAAAAATATTTCGTCAAATAGTTCTTTTAGAAACAATACATATGTTTGAAACTTATGTATTCATTTATTTTTGATGTAGGAAGTTATATTTCTTCCAAAACGTTTCACGAAAACTTACAAACAAATTATTTAAGCTCAAGATATTGAAATTCGTGATTCATAGAGACAAAAATTGCCCTTTTGCTGCTGTCAGCAGTTAAATTTTTATTATTTTTGTTTCAGAAGGTTTTATTTATTTATATAATTGTTATATAATTGTTGTTTTTCTTTCAGGATTTATAATTTAAATTTATTTTGACTTAATGACTTTTTATTACAAATTATGATTTTTTTGTATGTCCTTCAAATAAAATATTATTATTTGTTAGATTTGCTGTATTTATTATCTGATAATTCATATCATCTAAAAAGTCATCATACACATTTTTTTTGCATCCAAGGATAATAGTGATAAACCGATTAGAATCATTTCACGAGGCTCGGAATTGATTCAAATGGCAACAATATTAGCATTTTTATTGCCGTAACTAATGTTCTTCCATTCCTCTCGACTCCAAATCGCCTTGATTGTTTGTTTCTTTTTCTCGCACGATGGTCAATTATCAATTAGAGCACCGCTCACGTATATTTCAGCTTATAAATCTTGCCTCTTCGTTCATCCACAAGCGTAAACACTGTGATAGACAAAGGGAGAGAAACGACTGCCGATAGATTACAGTATCTACGAGTTCGGAATATTTTTCATCGCCAACGCTCTTATTTTGCACTTTTCACTGGCGTAGGTGGCATAACGCAATAACAAGAGAATAATAGGAAGAACAATCCTGTCACCAATTTATGGTTAAACTACAATCCAAACATTTGTTTAATTGTATATTCTCAACCGGCGAATCTGCAATTGCAAAATAGTTTTTCTTCATTAATGATTTGGTCAGGGGTTCCTCACTCCCCAAAATATTAGAATTTCTCAAAAAACTCCAAGGTCGCCAAAACCTTCTCCTGTAACCACCACACGCGCACCCTCTACATCCGCCACCCAATCTCCGCCAGCACCGTCAAACCCAAAAACAAAATCCTTTTCCCACTGTTTTCATTCATTAGTATATAAGTGTAACTTCCTAGTATCTAAGCTTTTTTTTTCTTTTTTTGTCCTCTTAATGACATATGTACATCTCTTGTTCTAAATGAGCGATAAGCTCTCATGTACGCCACCTCATAACAACTATTCTCTGTATTGTTTCTTATAAATAAATTTATATTAAATTAGAAAAATTCGAACCTGTATATACCTGTTTTAAAGTGGTTTTATAATACAAAACTAATATAAGATGGGACATCTAAATTTTCTAAATCTTGTAACGAACTTTGTTTTTTATTAATTGTTTTAAGTGGTTCATGTAGAGTTTAATGTTTCCGCATTAATATTATCTTGTTTTTAAACAAAATTTTGATTTAAAAGATATATCCCAATAAATTTTAGCGCAAAATCAAAAAGCTTCAACGAGACTTACATTTTTCTTAGTAAATTTGTTTGCATATTATTAAATAAAGAAAATAAAGCGGAACCTCCTTTAACGAGCATCTCGCATAATGAGCATTTCCCTTAACGAGAAAAATGAATTATAACGATGAGAAGAGAAGTCCCGGATTGCGCGCCTGCTAAATCATTTTTAAAGTTTGTGTATAGATATTATGTGCATTTTTGAATATGTTTCTATCAATTTCCATTAAACGCTCCAAACAATTGTCGTTCGACAACCAATGTAGATGCAACTAAGATGAGATCATCACTATTATCGCATTATTTCACAAAAATACATATAAATATTATATTTGTTTCACCTATCCCCATTTTATAAACATTTCTCATTGACAATTACTTTTTTTTACCTTAAATTGTCGGTCACGTAATATTAAAGAAAACACTATGTATTGTATGAATTCAAAGAATAACGGAATACCAAATACACCTATTATATCTCAACAAGCTATCTCTTTATTTCTATACTAATAATAATAATAACTAATATTTCTTATAATTATTTTAAGATAATTTCTTCAAGCCAGAGAATCCTCAAATAATATTACTTCCAATTACGTCACTCAATTATTTAAAAGCTGTTTGAATAAAAAGTAGTGATTAACAATATTAAACAATCATGTGTTCTAAAAACTGCGCAAGCAATTATTAATAGCAACAAGTGGTACGTTAATAGTTGGATTTAGTTGTAAACTAATAAATACAATTGTTTACTTATTGAAAATCAAAATGTGTAAGAAAGATCAATGGTTATATTTATTACTTCTTTAATAGTAATCAGATATGAAATTATGGAGGAATAATTAAATAGAATTATAAATAATTAAGTATTTTCTATTCACATATTTATAGACGACAGTAGGCGGATAACACACAAATACCATTCTAATGTTGATTATTTTTAGAATGCTCTAGAATGAATTGATATAAATAAAAAAATAAATATACCGGAAAATCTTGAGTATAATACGCAGAATTTAAATTTGTTGTTTAGAATTATTCTTTCAATATATAATAACTTTATTAGTTAACATCTCAATAAGTTCGTAGAATGACTAATAAAACAACAACTTTTGGGCAATAATCGACTTTATTCATCAACATAGTCTCATTCAAGAGTAATACATTCATTCCAATGCTTCTCTAACATTTCGATAGCAATCACTTCTTCATTGGAGCCAAATCTCTTTCCCTTTAGCATTCTTTTTAGGTCTGCAAACAGGTAGTAGTCGCTGGGAAACAATTCAAATTGCAATTCGTGCATTTTTCCATCGTTTTGATCGACTAATTTCCAATGAATAAAATTCCGTGCGCATCCCCCAAAACCTTACCAGCTGATATTTGCGTTTTGGTTTCTTTGAATGGCTTTTACCCTTTGCTGTCAACCGATTTGACTCTGGAGTGTAGTGGTGGATCCAGGTTTCATCCATTGTTACATAGCGCATGAAAAATCGTATGTATTTCGCTTGAACAGCTCCAAAAAATTCTTTACCAAATTACAAAATTTGGATTATAACAAATAATGACGTTGAATAAAATATATTGATTTGACTTTAATTTACTCTAAAAATGAATTGAGCAGGATCCATGTCCAAAAAAAGTTTTATCATGCCTAAAAATATTTAATCAATGCTCATATATTGTCGTAACGTTGCAGTTTATTTTCTCATAAAAATGCTTTGTTTTTCAATACATAAATTATTAATATGAGTTCATAAAATCAGCTTATCTTTATAATTAAAAATTCTTATAGCACTGAACTGCGATGAAAGTGTACTACAAGTTTTATTCAAACAAATTATAAAAAGTTTATTTCCGATTCTTCGCTCGATCTCATACAGAAAATGTGAAATTTTTATTTTATACATTAATTTGCTTGATGACTTAAGTATTAAGTAGTATTAAGAAGTATTAAGAAGTATTAAGAAGTATTAAGAAGTATTAAGAAGTATTAAGAAGTATTAAGAAGTATTAATACTAAAAGCGTGCATATATGACGAATTAAAAATATTTTTTTACTAATTTATAAAGCAACTGAAGAAAAAACTTATATATAAATTAGTTATTAACTGGCAAAAACTGAGGAATATAATAATATAATAAAAAATGTTAGTTACCAATGCATGCTTCGAGCAATTCATTATTTTTATGAATTTTGCAAAAAAAACCTTGGCACGGGTTCAAACTAGAAAAGCAAACTGCAATTATTCATTCTCGAAAAGAAAAAAAAAATAGCATAAACTAACGCACAAAAGATTTTCTCTAATATTGAAACCCAGTTAGAATTCTGGTGAAATGTCTCTTTTTTGTTCTTTTCGCGATAAACCCTCACACATCTTTCGTTGCATCGATTTGCCAGCTGCAGACTTGTTGTGTAATTGGTTAATAAATGCAAATTCAAGTGAATAATACAAAAGAATGAGAATATATAATAAAAAAAAGAGCGGCAGGATCATATTCTGCTCGACGGTGTTTTGTTTCTCTTTTTGTTTTGTTTATTTGTTTTCCGATTAAACCTGTAAGTGTCGGATCGAGTGTGTCTCTTTTGGTAATAAGTAGCGAAGGATGACGTCAGGTTGAGCGGCGCGAAAAGCGGGGGCGAACCCATCGAGAGTGGGCCCCCCATTTTTTCCTCTTCTTCGGACACCATGAGGGGGGCCGCAGACCAGGGGGATCAATCAGTCGGCATCCAGCAGCCGCAAGTGCGAATTCATTCATTCATCCGACAACAACAACAAAGACTAATTGAAGAAAGCGACGACAACAAGAATAGAAAAATTTAAAGAAAAAAAAAAGAAAAATATTAATCGCGATACTTTAACACATTAACAGCGAACCTGATACCAGAAAGACGATACGAATATTAATATATAATTAATATAGTTTAATCGATATTAATCATAACTTTACGTTAGTGGCTTCATTAATTCCATACTTTTCGCTTAGTGCTCTACCTTGTAACATAGTTTCTGACACTTCGGAGAAAGAAGAGAATAAACGCAAAAACTAATAATAAGGTAAGTCATTAAAAAACTATTATTATAGCATAGTTACTCAATCAACAAAATATGAAATAAAGAACCGTAGTCGGTAATATCCAAAAATATCAATATTTTTTTTGTAATTACTATTACTAATTACTATCAATTCATTTCTTACTTGATATTATAATTAAATCTCTTATATAATTGCACATTTAGATTAGTTTGATTAAAATCAATTTAATATTTACAGAAATTATTGGTCCTTTCGACCAAAGTTTTTCACAACAATTTCAATTTATTTCAATCGAAATATCAATTATTGCACATGAATTAATTGGTAAAAAGAAATTACTTAATTATTTCAAAATGTAATAAAAAATATAATCATCTCTATAAATATGTTTAAGTCTATGTAAACCAAAATACTTTTCACTGAGATCTTTCCATTTATAATACAATCAGTATGAAGACAAGCAAGATAAATGAATATTCCATAAAGAACAAACAAAATACCAAAATAGACATGACATATACAAATAAAAATATGTCGAAATAAAATCAATTTAAATGTAATATTAAAGAAAATGGCGATTAATTAAATTAAATTTTATAATTGGATTCATAGCAAGACTACGAAAACCTATTACTTTCGAAAGTTTTAATAAATTTAAAAAACTGATATAACTTTCGGTAGTTTCAAAAACGAAGTCTGCAGCAACATAATAAGAAATTAAATTATAATTAAATCTATATATACAGTCATGTATATAAATAACTAACAAAATTAAATTATTATTCATAAACTAGGGTTTATCTTATGTATACATAAAATTAAATCTTAAAATTGTCTTATAAATCTAGCATTTTATATTCCAGCAAATACGGTAATAATTGTTTTGTTTTTATTTTGGTTTTAAATCATGTTGTGATTTGTTATTTTTTGATAAATTTATCATTTCAAACGCCATAGAAAACGACTCACGTTCTCCCATTGTTTGATTAATGGAAAACAATGCAGGATTGAATGTATATAAAAGTAATGCCACATTCCCATTAAAGCTCGCGTTAAGCAATAATTTGACATTTTAATATACATTCGTTGAACCCATTAAAATATTTAGATCAGTATTTTCCGAACTTCGGCACGAGTCGTCCCAATCAAAAAGATTCAAGAGTTCGGATATTTGTAAATGTTATTAAAACAAAAATACATATATTTCGGTTAATTATAAAATCTATTGTTTATCTATTGAACAAATATAATTAAATAATCATTTTGGAACTTAATGGTTGCCAAACTGGTTTTAATGATTTGTTTATTTACAACATATATTTTTCATATAAATTTTTCAATCGCCTTGTAATTAAAACTATGTACGCAAAAATATTTACATCTTTTGATTATCTTTATTTAGTTATAAGTAGCCAATTTATCTTTACATACCTACCAACCCGGATGGTACTAATTGAATTTAAAATGTTTAAAAAAGTAAATGTTTTGAACAATTATTAATACTTATTACAAACAAAATATCTTTTATATTATTTTATTTTCATAAGACTTTTATTTGTTCCGACTTGGAAAATACACAAAATATTACATATTTAAACATACTACTTATACAAATTTATATTCAAGTTATAATAGAGGTTGTCAAATATTTGAATTCAATAAAATATAACTTTTTGAAGTAACATTTAATTATGAAATTCATATTCAATCATTGTCATATTTGATGTAAGTATACTACAATGTCCTAGAATTATAAGTATTAATATATACAAGCATCGTGAACAATCAAATAAAACGTCGTTACAAATGTGAATACTATTTTTTTAAAACGAAATTGAAAAATAATAATGACAGAAGTCAAATATATATGACACCTGTCTAATGTCAATAAAATAAACATAAATTGAATTATTTTAATCTATTATTTGCATTAATCTATTGTAACAATTATTATTGCAATAAAACCAATAAAAATATATCAATTTTACAGTTGCAGTTTAAATAAAGCAATAATACGTATACAAAATGAACTTTGTACAATGTTTAGATATCATATTTAAAATTTAACATTTGTTATATAATTACATAAATATACATACAATTTGTGATTTATTCCATACAGAAATATACATTAATACAAGTTTGAAGATTAAATCGATGCAATTAAAAATTGCAACCCATTTCGTTGCGAATCGAACGAAATTGAAATCTCAGAGCAAGTTCGAAACGATTTAACTAATATCAATTACGTACTTTTACTGTATCGAACTTTGAAACGATTCCATTAGTGTGTGAGACTTCGAATTCCCCAAAAAAAAATCACATGCAGATGTATTCGTTCTCGATTTAGATACCAGAATCCTTGTTTTCACCGTAATTACGTAATCAACTCACACTTCGAGCGCATCGTACTTATTTACGTGTATTTATATATATACCTTAAGTGAGTTTTTTTTTCAATCCCGTTCCAAAAATTAATTCAACGTCTCAATCCGGTGGACGGGCGGAGGGAATGGAAGACAAAAGACCTACGACGGTTCCTTCTTTCGGTTCCATCTCTATTGTTGTCAATTCCGTACAATTTGAATTTATTGAGAATGCGTGGTTCAGTGGGTATATAACATTTATATTAATGCGGAGAGACAAGAGGATATCGTCGGCCTACTGCAATGACACGTACCGCTCGACTAAACAAATGACATCATCGAGCCGTTTTTAAAGAAATAAATAAGTAATCGAATGAATTGGAGAGAAAATAATAATAAAAAAAAAAGAAACAGTCACACTCACACACATATAATAAAATGTGTGGACTCGTGTGCGATTTTATTGCGTCCATATGGCGTTGATTATTCAAATAGCACCACCTATGCGTTGAGCGCATTTCTAAAACCGTCCGATTTTCGTCTTCGAAGATTGCATCACCGGTAATTAGCAAATTCTAAGTATTTCATAACTCTCGAAAAGGTTATTTGAAAATGCATACACAAGCTAAAATTATCGATACAAAATTGTCTTGCACAGATTTGATGGTCAAGGTGGAAACCGTTTCTTAATGCATGTTATTTTCTTGGTGTTAAATGTGCATTATTAATGAATGGAAATATGCGGAATACCAATAAACTTGACTCGAAGCAATTGGTCGTTGTTTTCGTTTTTTTATGATGACGTCATTGACAATAGCTGAATTATTATTATTATTGCGATTTCGTTTCCTTTCTCCGCTCTCTATCGACAAGTAAACAAACTTTATGCAATCCCACGCGATTAATACGAAATTAGTTTATTTGTTGATGCAAAACGCCAAGTAAACAATTGTGATAATGGTTATGCATGCATGTATGTATGTATATGTTATAATAACAAGTAGAAGTGACCCAGCGACAGCGACGAATGCGCGTATCCAGCTTTCATCGCAGGTGGACGGGCCGGTATTATGTCAATGGTGTGAAGGTTGACCGCGGCTGCTGCGGAATCTGCATCCGAAATTGTTTGCTCTTCCATTCATGACCAATTCACATATCCTACAATTGCAAAACAATGATGTACAACGTAAAAAAAATCGTAAATTTATATTAGAGTCTTTAAACTGTGAATTATGTATCCTTTAGTTGGATGACTCGAGCTAAGTAAAATAATTTAAAATGAAACTGAAATAATCATAATAAACCTTAATCTTGCTTATAATAATTATTCGTTTAAGTGTGTAATTAAAAGAAAAACAAGTTCCATTTTAAAAATTGAATTAATTTGTAAAATATTCCGGACAGAAAACCTCGGTCTATAGCTCTATGGTCAAATTGGGGTGTATAAAAAAAGATATATTTATAATAGAATTTGAAAAACAAAATCAATTAAAGTAGAGCCTCGCTTAACGAGCATTTCGCTTAACGAGCAAAAAGAGTTGTAAGAAAAATGACTCGCTTAACTAATGTTACATCATTTTTAAAATTTGTGTACATACATATTATGTGTATTTTTATAAGAATCCGAAAATTTTGGAATGGATTAAACTCGTTAAGCGAAGTTCCACTGTATTAGCATATTTTTAATTAAATCATTTGAACTGTATGTAAGACTTTAGCCAAGAACATTGTGATCACAATTGTTCTCAATAAAGATATTTCATAATAATTGGTTCATTTTCTTGTAAGTCAAAATCGTGAAATTAACGCTCAGAAAGAGTATTCACTTATCTTATTCTGATGTCTTATGTTATTTAGAAAAAAAAAATCATGATAAAATAGTAGCTCTTTTTTCGTAGAAATTTTATGTGAAAACTTTTAAAAAGAAATAAGATTATTTAGAATAAATATATGTTAAAACAAAACAAAACATATACAGAAATACCTTACATCAGTGGTTCTCAAACTTTTTTTTCAACGACCCCCTTTTGCACATAAAAAAATTAAGGACCCCCGAAGAACGGGTATGTGTATAAAAACGTAGAAAAACCTACCGTCCCGTCTGTCATCATTTTGGGGTAACGTTTCCGCCGATATCCAGCACTGTTTGATACCAGGACTTTAAAACCGGAAAGAAGTTCGACAAATTATATATTTTTTTTAGTAATTTTTAAAATTTATTTTTATTTTGATCAATTAAAATATAGTTTGTTTTGCAATTTTCAAAATCAGTTTTGACGTTTTATGTCAAAATCGAAATTAATCAGGTAAATTATTATTATGTTATGTAGAAGAATAAAAAAAATATAAAACATTAATATTTTTATTTTAACATATTTAATGGCCAACAATTAGACTAAAGAGCTATAGACCGGAGAATACAATAGTTCAAAAAAATCTTTCTATAATAATTAATTAATTAATAAAAAAAAAGCATTGTAAAAAATATGTAATTGAAATACAATTTTACCGAAAACGATAGAAAAATTAAAACAAAATTACAATAAATTAGACATGGTAACACAATTTAAACTGTTTATTACTTAATCTCTTAGCACTGAACGCAGCAATTTCGCGACATACCCTTTCTACAACAGTATGCAAGAAAGAACAATATTTTTTAATATTCAATTTTTGACATTAAAAGAAATAAATGTGTAAAAATTGTGATAATGAAATTATGGTTTGAAATGTTTCCTTCGTCATTGCAATGTATATAGTATTTACTTCCTGAAAATGTATTGCATAAAGTAATTGCAAAATTTATAAATTATAAATAATTTTAATTCGATTTCCTTCATATGAAATGAAGAGCATTTAAATTTTACAACTCTTAACAATGTATTCTTCTATTTGTACTTAAAAAAAGTGTTCTTGATATACCTGATCTATTGAAATGTTGTTACTGTTTTACTAGCGTCACATTCGTTAACATTATTATATATTATTCAGCTTCCATTAATTATTTAATTAAATTTTTAAATATTATTTATAACATTAAATAAAACAAAGACAAATCCGCATCACATAATATGTGTACAAATGTTTTAAAAATGATGTGGCAGTCGCTCGTTAAGTGAGTCATTGTTCATACAATTAATTTTGCTCATTAAGCGCAATGCTCGTTATGCGAGGTGCTCGAGGTTCCACTGTATATTAATTATTAAAATTATTGTTAAATGTTTAATATCAAATAATAACATATAAACGACAGAAAGTCTTCAATCATTAACTATTTGGTCCAAGTTAGAGCCAAAAAAAAAAACATTAACTTGAAAAATCAATAATAATATTATTAATTAATCAATAATAAATGTAAAGGATTATTCATTGATATTACTACATATATTTGCATAAATCTTGTTTTTATTTTCATTAAAATTCCATGTTTTAATTTTGTCTATGCGTTCGTAATATATTTATAATTATATTGGTTCTATAAATTCTCTATTTTTTTTTGTAATATTTATATTTAATAATTATTTCAATGGAAATTGCTAGTATTGCTACTATTGTTACATTGCGTTCTGTTTTTCTTTAAAATTGTTTTATTTATATTTAATGCTTTTTTTTCCAAATAAAAACAATATTTATTGATAACACGACATATGCGATAATATAATTAATAAAAATAAATTAACATTAATTACAGAGAGAACATCTATAAAAGTAACCTGTATTAGTCTATTGCTATTGTAGTAATTGTTTTATGTCTATTTATACCAATAATACTTCCTTATATATTAATAATGTAAATAAAATTTTCTTAATAGCTCATTAAGAGCAATTGTGATTCTATCAATAATACCAATGAGAGTGCAATTACATTAATTTATAATTCTATTACATCGAAATTATATCCACGGCAGAATACGATGCTTAACTTTTATAAACTTCATATTTTTTATATAAAATGTTACGCATTTACCTATTTAATATATTTTACGTGCGATTTGTGATTTATATAAATAATATGTTAAGGTTAATAATACTGCACACAGTTTAAACGTGAGATTGCAAGGATCAAGTTAACTAATGTCATCATTTTTTTCCTGCAGTTCCAATTTCTAAACATCTCTAGTGAGATTATGTTAGGTTTTAAAGTCTCGTACGCTTTTTATTTGTTTCGTTTCATCATTATTGTTTTTCCTATTCAGTTCGCTTCCTGCAGGCATCGCGACAAACGCAGTAATAACACGAATTACCGATGTGATTCGAGATTGTTCTTCTGTCCCCAATAACGTTTTTCGCATTGGATCGAATCGCAAATTTTATGGGTTTAAGGTCAGCGCAGAGATCGCAGGGGGCTCGGTTTATTATAATGATGATGATTATTATTATTGTAAATAAATGAACAGCAAAGAAAGAGAAAAAAAAGAATGAAAGATCGCCCGAGGCCGCCGACTTTGTGTACCCCAAATGCCCATAAACGGCGATTCTCTCCATAAATGGCATTAATATCTGCTGGGACTTCTTTGCTGCGCTTTTCTTACTCACACGCGGTCGGCCCTGGCCTGGACTTTTGCTTACACAATCTCGAAGTAGACCAAATAAGGCCGAAAACCATCTGCAGCCAGTTAGTTAATCTCACACAGATTACCATTACTTATCTGTGCAAAATGAAAAAGAATGTAGGAAATTTGTAACGAAACAATTTATTAACACATTGAATTACATTTTATCTTTGAGTTGCTGTAGAAATATCACCTCAGTAAATGTCTATATTTACTAGTTCATACATTTTGTATACTAATTTGTCTCCACGATCAATCAAATGTAAATTATAACATCTGATTTAACAGACATATACATGAAATAAAACGTGATAATTCAATTAAATACTTTCACTAGTCTTCACCATCATAATCAGTGGAGAATTATTTTATTAAATTAAATTTCATTCAAATATTAACCCTTTAACTACGGTTGTCATCAATGACGACGATACGAAACTTTCGTGGCAGTCATCAATAAACGATTTAATGAATTATGTTGAGATACTGCTATCGCCTATTGACCATTCTATATATTATTATAAGATTTGTTATATCGGAACTTAATTATGATTACAGTATGCTCATACAGATATATTTTATGAATATTTCATCATTTTTTATAACGTGTTTTATGGATATACATATTTATTATATTGTCCACATTTTATTTTGGAATGTAGCTGTAATATCTACCTACAATTTTCTTATAAAATTTATTATTAAAATAATATTTTTTCACATATTTTCGCATTGAAAATTATTATTGTAAATGTCGTGAGACAAATTTTACAAAAAAACATGGAACTCTGCAGCTAGACTGCTGCAGGGAAGACAGAGTATGGAAACCATTGAACATTTAGCTGAAGCATATTTAATGGGAAAGCAATCACCAGTTAATATTCGATCTACTAAAAGTAGACAAAAAAGGCAAAGAATTTGTCATGTATGCTTAAATACTGTTCGACTGTTACAACTTGGTTTCCCGAATATAAAATTGGATTTTATACAAAGGATTGCTACATTTTAGAAGAATACATTTTTAAAAACCTGAAATATTAATGTTTAAATTATTCATAATTCCGATTTAGTTTTATTATTTTTTAATTTGCCGTAAAATATGTCTTTGATGATGATATTGTGTTATTTATATTTACAGAGTTTTGAAATATATTGTAGTTCACTATATTCATAAAATTTTCATTTTTTTTTTTATATTTCAGTACTTAAAGGGTTAATAAATACAAAACGTTTTATCAGTTTCGTCAATCAAATTCGCATTTTCTTATATTAAAAAAAAGTTATGTTTATGTTTAGTTGATAATTTTACTTATCGTTATACACATTTACTACACTTTAAGCTTTACTACAACATAAACATAAATGCATATAACATATTAAATCCACAGTTTGATACTTGAGGGCAGAGTTTCTCCACTAATGAGTTCCAAATTATTCTGATAAGATATTAATTATATTATTTTAATTTTTAAAAACGTATTTAACCGCTTAATTAGTCCACAAATCTAAAAAGAAGACCAAGATGTTAAAATTTGTACCATTTTTGATAAAATATGACACAAACAATTTCAATGTTTTTTTTTTATCATTTTAAGCAGTACTTTTTCTTTACACTTGTAAATGTTAGTTTTAATGTTTTCCATGGGATAATTAAAATAATAAAAATGTTTTTTATTGTATTCAATATTATCATTATTATATTAGAACCACAATAAGTAACAAATGATTTTTTTTATTAAGATACATAATTACAGTATTAAGTCACTATCAGAAATTTTAATTTTATTGTAATTAGTTTGTTTGCATGTAATAGTGTGTTTTCCAACTGAAAATCATTTGGTTATATTATATTTATACAGTATAGCGTGTTTTTCATCTTGGAATCATGTTATATTTATACAATTTAAAAGTAATTTCAGTTACTAAACAGGCGAATTAACTATTAGGGAAGTCGAGTATAAGGTTTTAAGTTTTCTAACACAATGACTTCAGAAATGAGTTATAAATGTAAATTGAAAATTTAATTATCATAAAAAAAATCCATTTAAAGTGCTCACCATAATTTCGTGTTTTTTCATGAGACGAGGTGGCCGAGTGGTTAAGGCGTTGGACTGCTAATCCAATGGGCTCTGCCCGCGTGGGTTCGAATCCCATCCTCGTCGAAAAGTTTATTTTTATGAATAATAGTAAATAATTATTATAATCTTGTTGCAGGCCATGTCGGCCACCAATAGTTGCGAGGTGTCCCAAATCCAGGATGAGGACGTATTGAGGCGCATGGTAATTATTGACTTGTCAGTTGAAATTATCAGATTAATCTAAATGTATTATATTTGTGCAGTGGCAGGAAACGGAAGATTTCGGAAGAAAGAAAGAGATTCGAGCGCACATGTATAAAATCCGTGAGGCTAGACTAAGGGATTTTTATAATAACGGCGAAATGAATAAGGAGATTCAGAGAACCAATAGTTCTTCTGGTATTGAAAGGAAGGGCACGAACACGCATCACACCGATTTGTTGGCCGATCACAGCTTCTTAAGCTTGAAATCGAAGGAGATCAGGGATTCGGAATCTCCGACAAGAGATGTTCATTATGGCAAAATTTCCTCCATTGGTGGTGGTGATAAGGGATGGACTGTAAAGGAGACCAATGAAAGAAGCGCCGATGGGAAGACGCACACAACTAGCAAGTTGGCCACTACCTCTGGAGTAGATCAGATCGAAGGAGGTGTCAGCCAATATGCCGCAAAGAACGAGCAGTTGGCTTCCGTTTACCGAGACGGAGATGACAAGAACTTCACAAAGTCTGTAGGAGCTAGCAATAAAAGCCAGATTGTGCAAGAAGCGCACGGCGGCGATGACAACAACAAGTTCTATAGCAGCTCAAAAACGAGCAAATCTTCTTCAAAAGTAGTCACTGAGCATAAGTCAACTTCCGGCGATGATTTCGATTCTGCTATGCTTAAAGACCCTAATACCAGAGTTTATACGGAGACTAAAACTCTTCCTGATGGTAGCACGGTCACCACAACTCGTTACGAGACTATTGGAAGAACCTCGCAGAATTTTAACACCTCTTCCTCAAGTTCTTCATATTCCACACAACAGATGAACGAGCATAAAACTTCATCTAGCCACGATGAAGGTGACAATGTTAGAGTTATTAGATATTCGCAGCAACCATCTGAACGGTTCACCGAACATGAGGATTTCAGTTATCAGCATCCCTCAGATATTAAATCAACAACGAAGATTATCAGAACCAGCGAAGACTATCAGCAACCTTCAGATATTAAATCAACCACGAAGATTATAAGAACCAGCGAAGATTATCATCGGCCGAGTGTAAATGAACAAACGACAACATCATCATCATCCACAACCCAACAAAAGGATAAGCATGAACACGTTCAAAGATTTAACACTTCGTCCATTCATCAAACTAAGCATCATCACGATGAACATTACGAGTCAAAAAATCACGAAGATACGACATTCCAAAATACACTTAGAGAGAATAAATTCCAAACAAATGTGGAGCACATTGTTAGACCAACTCAAGATGAAACAATCTATAAGGAACAAATTGTTTATAAAAATGAACCTAAACAAATACCGGTCAACAGACCACAGCCTGAAGAAGTAAAACACATTTATACATCTGAACCAAGAGTAGTGCCAATACAGAAACCTCAAGAAGAGCCTTTGTATAAATCTCAGCCGAGAGAAGAGCCAATATACCAGTCTCAGCCAAGAGACGAGCCGATATACAAATCTCAACCTAAAGAAGAGCCGATTCAGAAGAAGCATCAAGATACAAGAAGAGAAGAAGTAATCGATATTAAAGTGGTGAGACAAGATAAAAACTTCAACGACGACTTTATCAATGTCGAGAAGAAGCATCTCAAAGACACAACAGAAACACCTAGATATATACAACCCGATCGCAGGGAGCCTATTCGTCCTGCTACTTCAGATTTTAAGATTGGCACCACTGAAGGCCAATATGATACCACCTACAGATCCGAGTTCACCAACAAGAAGATAAGTGTTGAGGTGAGTCCCACTCATGATGCGTTCGCACGTTCTTTGAGGTCGGTAACACCAGATAGGGATAGAAAGTCAGGCTCACCAATGCGCGGTAGCACTAGAAGTCTTCGCACTAGTACCTCTTCATTGAGGAGCAGCACTAGCCCTGAAAAGAACAGGCATCCTGGACGTTATTCTCCCGATAGACGCACTAAATCACCCACAAAAAAGAATCAAGATAAATTTGCCAGCAATGAGACCATCACCAAGTACAGCACGGATACTTTAACCAGGCGTAAAGAAACCCAAAAGAAAACGGTGCAAAGGTCGAGAAGCAACTCGCCCACTGAAACTGTCAGTACAGATTTTGAATACAGACCAGTGGGATATGAACAAGTCACTGATTTGGATGATGATTCGGACTCGGCAAATCGTAAATCCAAGAGAATCACTGAACGCTCTCCAACTTCTCCAATTAAACAGAGTCCTGCAAAGGACACTCCTCGTAGAAGCAGCTTAAAGACTACTCCTACAACGTCTGAAGACACTAAGAAAATGCTTAGACGCACTGACACTTACGAGGAGAGATGCCGACAAATTCTAGGTATCGCAGAGAAAAAGAAAATTGAAAAGAATATAACGGATATTCTTTTCTCAGATAAAGCTAGGTCAAAATCTCCAGACAAGAAAATATCGTCAAGAAGGCCTTCCGATACGAAAGTTGTGAGTCCTGATAGAAAACCAAATGAAACTCGAAAAAGTCCTGAGTCTCCTATAAAGAAACAACCTGAGACTAGTGAAACTTCACCACAGAAGAGAAAAAATTCGCACCCAGAAAAATCTAGTCCCAAAAAAGAATCCCATAAAATAAACGAATTTCCATCGCAGATTCGAAGAAATATAGAAAAGGAACCGTTGGAACCGTATCCGGAATACAACAAACCAACGAAACAGGCACATACAATAAATGAATTTCCTTCGCAAACTCGAAGAACTCCCGAACGACAACCCTTGGAGGCATATCCAGAAAAAAATAAACCAAATAAGTATACAACAACAGTTGGCGAGTTTCCATCTCAGATAATAAGCAGTCCAGAAAAAGAACCGTTGGAACCTTACTCTGAAAGGAAATCCCCGAAGAAAGATTCACCTACTATCAACGAGTTTCCTTCTCAGATTCGGAAAACACCAGAAAGGGAACCATTAGAGCCGTACCCGGAAAAGACAACACCAAGAAAAGATGCTCCAACTATATGCGAATTCCCGTCACAGATTCGAAGAAGTGTCGAAAAGGAACCATTAGAACCTTATCCGGAAAAGAAATCACCTAAGAAAAATGCTCCATCTATTAATGAGTTTCCGTCTCAGATTCGTAAGACTCCTGAAAAGGAACCTTTAGAACCTTATCCTGAAAAGAAATCACCAATTAAAGATGCACCAAATATATGCGAATTCCCGTCCCAAATTAGGAGAACCCCCGAAAAGGAACCATTAGAACCTTATTCAGAGAAGATGTTTCCAAGAGAAAATAGACCGACTATTAATGAGTTTCCATCTCAAATTCGAAAGACTACAGAAATGGAACCATTAGAACCATATCTAGAGAAAAAAACTCCAAGTAAAAATGCTCCAACACTATGCGAATTCCCATCCCAAATTAGGAGGACTCACGAAAAAGAACCAAATGAACCATATCCGGAAAAGAAATCACCGACAAAAAATGCTCCTTCCATTAACGAGTTTCCCTCTCAATATCCAAAAAGTCCAGAAAGGGAACCATTAGAACCATATAAGGACAAGGTATCTCCAAAGAAAAAGTCTCCTTCGGTAAATGAGTTTCCTTCGCAAATTAGAAAAGCTCCAGAAAGAGAATCATTGGAGCCGTATCCAGAAAAGATATCTCCAAGAAAAGAGGCTCCGACCATTTGCGAATTTCCGTCCCAAATCCGAAAAAGTCCAGAAAGAGAACCATTGGAACCATACCCAGAAAAGAAGAGTCCCAAAAAGAGTTCTCTCTCCATCAATGAATTTCCTTCTCAAATTCGGAAGACACCGGAAAGAGAACCATTGGAGCCATATCCAGAAAAGAAAACTCCAAGGAAAGATGTGCCATCAGTTTGCGAATTTCCATCACAAATTAGAAGAACACCAGATAGAGAACCATTAGAACCATATACAGAGCGGTCTAGGCCGACAAAAGAGACTTCGAAGATTAATGAGTTTCCTTCCCATATTAGAAAAAGTCCTGAAAGATCTCCTTTGGATTCTTCTCCAGAAAAGACTTCACCCAAAAAGTATACCACTAAAATTGATGAATTTCCATCTCAAATTAGAAGAAGTCCAGAACGAGAACCTCTGGAACCTTATCAAGAAAAGCAAAGTCCCAGGAAAGATGTTTCTAAATTTCCATCTCAAATTCCAAGAAGAAGTCCAGAAAGAGAACAATATCCAGAAAATAAAACTCCGATGAAGGAAAATTTATCAATTTGTGAATTTCCATCGCAGATCAGAAAAACTCCACAAAAGCAATCAATCGAAACATATCCAGAAAAGAAAATTCCAAGAAAAGAAGCTCCAAGTGCCGTTGAACATCTATCACATCCAAAAACATCTACAAAAGAAGTTATGTTTCAAACTCGAAAAGTCCAGGAAAAGAAACCATCGAGACCTATCCAAAAGCCAATGCCAAAAACTAAAGCATATCCTGAGCTCACGTCACCATCTAAAGTTCAACTAAGAAAAAATAAAATCCAGACCATCGAAGATCAAATAATCAAAACACAAAGATCGAGCTTAGAGCTGAAACAAAAACATAAGAAGCAGGATGTGGAGGACGAGCTACTAGAGAAGACTACCAAGTACATTGAGGGTAAGAGGGTACCTGTCGACGAACCACTTTTTGTTAAAAAGTTTATTTCCAAATTAGGCAGCGACGACGAGGATGACAACAACGAGGAGACTTTAGAAGTACCCAGAAGAAGATCACCTGAAAGGCCATCTCCTGTCAAGAGAACAGAAGACGTTTACGTGGTCAACGAAAAAGTAGATTTCGAAGTGAAGAAATCCCCGGAGAGGTTATCACCTGTTAGACAGAAGACTGTTAAAAAGGATTTATCTCGAAAAACACAGGAACAGTGTATTAGAAGAGGGAAGGTAGACACTGAAATCACATTAACAAAATCTACTACTTCCAATAAGAAGAAAGAAGATGTAATTAATAAAAGAGTGGAGATTAAGAAAATCATCAAAGCACCAACACCAACTAGGCCCAAACCTACTACTGAAAGGGTTACAATCACCAAGCAAGTACCGCATAGGGTAACTATCACTAAGCAATTGCCTAAGAAGAAGGTTGAACCACAAAAGATTGAAAAGAAACCGACGCACAGAACAGTAGTGACTAAAGAGGTGGGAGTAAAACAATTTGGCAGAAAGGAATTCCTCGTTGACATTAAACCTAAAAAGCCGATAGAGAAAGTGACTAAGAGGACGGTTGTATCCACTGTAATAAATCTCTCTCCAAAGTCAAAGACACCGAAAAAAACTTCGCCTGCGCCATCAAAACCGAAGCAACGTAAACCCATTGAAAATGGACATCGTCCTCAAAGTGAGGAAGAAGATAGCGAAAACGAGGAAGATATTAAAATAAAGGAGAAGAAATGTGTCTCAACTAAGAGTATAATTATAAACAACACTGTTGCCGACCAGAGAGAGATTATTGTAGATCTTCAAAGATCGAAATCCTCCCGAGAGGAAACGCCTGATAATGTTTGGCCAGTAACCGCAGAAGAAGAATTTGGCATTCCAAGATATCCAGATCAGATTTTAGAACCTGAAGAACCGTGTAGAAAACCGAAGCGTACCGTGGATGTACCTTTGGTGGAGAGCGAAGACGTAACAGAATTCAGCAGAATCACGGAAATTACGGATGAATCTCTCTTAACTGTTAACGAAAAGGTGAACAAATTCACGGAGAAAAAAACGACGAAGAAGATGGGTGGTCCAGCGCCTAAAGTTGAGAGACCTATGCTTATTGTCGATGAAGATTTAGCGGAAGACGAGTGCTTACTAAGTGTTACAGACAAAGTTAACAAATTTATAACTACCGCAGAGAAGTTAACAGAAAGGCCAAAATCACCTAGGTGCCAAAACTTTAATGATTTAGAAGAGACAAAACACGTTTCAGAAAAGGTTACTCACTTCACTACAGACCAGATTAAACCAAAACTTCAACCGACTATGCCCAAAGTTCAGAGGCCTGATTTGTCTGATGTAGACGAAACACTAAGAACAGACGATTGCCTCTTGAGCGTCTCCGACAAGGTCAGCAAGTTTATTACAACCGCTGAAAAGTTGACTAAACCAGCAACCAGAGACAAGTCTCCGAAACCCGTTAGTCTGGATGATATAACTACAACCGAATGTGTTACCATTGTTGATGAAGAAAATTACGAAACAAAAATAAAAACTAAAGTGGTCAGAAAACCTATAGATGATGATGATGATACTCGTCGCTCACCTGTAAGGAAAGTGGAAGAAGATGTCAGAAGAGTTTCACCTACAAGGAAAGTCGAAGAACCGCAGAGGGTTTCTCCATCAAAGGAACGTTCTCCAGTAAGAAAAATTGATGATACTAGAAAATCATCACTAAAGAAACCCATAGAAGAAACGCCAAAATCTTCGAGAAGGCCTTCTCAAGAGGATAAAATAATATTAAGCACCGTTGGTCGCTTACGCAGCACGGAAAGTATTAAGAAGGCAAGGGCTTTGTTTGAGAACGTAGAAACTAAGGATAAGCCAAAACAACGAGATATCATAAGCAGACCATCCGTATTCGAAGCCCGTAAGTCCATAAAAAAAGATGAGGTTAAATTGACAGACATTGGTATTGAAAAGGAAGAATTAGACGATGTGAGGCAAAAGTTGACTTTTGATGAAGAAGAAGATATTCCCGGATATATGAAGCAACTAGACAGAACACTCAGAGCTAAAAGTCCACATCGTCCTGGAGTTATTGAGATGGAGGAAATCGCTAAAGGACACATCCAGCAATATCATGAAGAATCTAAAACCACTAAGTTTGGAGTAGTATTGAAGAAAACAGAAACGGAAAATACGGAAAGGAGGAGGAGCAGCATCACCACTACGATTATGACGGTTGAAACTGACGAAAAAGAATTGGAAATCGAGGAAATATTTGATTTAGAAATATTGGAAGCAATGGTAATTATAGAAATTTAGAAATTCAGATAAGTGTATTAATATTTATTATTATTTCAGTTGATCAAAGTCGTAAGCTACGATATAAGAAAAAGGATTAGGACGCAAATAAAGATCGTCAAGAATCTTATTTCTGAGAATAAATTAAAAACAAAGAATATATACGTGGTTGTCAAAGAGCGTTCTAAATCACCGGAAAAAGTAATCAGAGCAAAATCACCGGAAAAGATATCCAGGGAAAAATCTCCTGATAAAGTGACAAAGGAAAAATCTCCTGAGAAATTTACAAGGGAAAAGTCTCCTGAAAAAGTTCCTAGGGGAAAGTCTCCTGAGAAAGTTACCAGAGAAAAGTCCCCCGTGAAATTTACCAGGGAAAAGTCCCCTGAGAAAATAATCAGAGCAAAATCTCCAGAGAAAATGGTTAAAGATAAGTCACCAACTAGAAAGAGCCCTGAAAGAAAGCCGAAGACATTTACACCGGAATTGAAAAGAACTACTATTGCTCCTAAGGCTTCGGTAGATGATAAACCAGAATGGGTAACGCAGAGAAATCTGAAGAAAGTTAATGAGAGACAAGTCACTAATAAGAAGTCAACTGCGTCGACCTCAACTACAGTGGTGAAAAAGAGAACATCCGTTAGCCCTGTCAAAGGGACGGATGTGATTACATCGAGTTACGGCGTTGGGCCCACAGATGAAAATGGGGTACCGCTCTTCGGCTTGAAGGCTTTGAAAACACAGAGCAAGAACGAAAATACTAAAGGTAAATTCAGACAAACTATATTAGTTACTTAATAAAAATAATTCGTTTTCAGTTCAAGGCACGGTGATGCACAGCACGTATTATTCTGAAAACGGCAACGAACCGGTGGGTGAGGTGAGCGTCACCAAGTACTCAACAGATCCCGCAGATTTGGGATCCACCGAGGACTTAAAGAATGCAGGAGATGGTCTTATCTCGAAGACGACGACCCAGAAGTTCGGATATAAGGATACACCAAGCTACCGTAGTTTAACCGACAAGAAGAACAAGGTACGAAAATAGTTGATCTTGAAAAAAAAAATGAACCTTGCGCCAATTACTCGTTCAAAATGCTTGCTTTTTATGGAATGTACGCTACTTTTAATTTAAGAAATCCCAGCTGCCAAGAAAATAATGTTTAATGATCTTTCAGACGATAACCGATGAATCGCGAACGGTGAAAGTGACGCGACGCGGATCTGTCAAGGAGATGTCGCAGAAGTTCTTGGATAATGCCGGTTGGTTAATTGTGTAATTGACATTTGGTCTAAGATTAATTTTAATTAATTTTAACATTTTTAGTGCAAACTTTGAAGGGCGAAAGGCAGTCAACCTACCCGAAGGCAGGGCTGATCTTGCGCACGTCCAGCTTCAAAGATACCAGCAGTTTAAGCAGCCGCGAGGCATCTCCAATCGGTATTTAAGAATGTAACTGAATCGAATATATTATTTAATGTATTCGTATTTAGATGTTTCAGAGGACGAGGTCACCACGGTGAAAAGCAGCTCCACGTTCCTGACTAACACCTCAAAGGTGACCAACGTGCAAGACGTTATTGGCAGGATGAAGGCCGAAGGTATTTAAGTTATTCTTTAAGGTGGTTTAACTATTTGGAATGTGGTTTCAGATTGCAGAGACGGCGAAAGCGCCGAAGACACAGAGGCCAGGAACCTCCTGAACAAGTTCCTCGGTTCCCAAGTGATCCTGGCGGGCATGGAAGGTGCGTCTTCGTCGAGGAAGACGACGTCTACCAGCGCCTCCACCACCACCAGCGCTTCCAAGAAAATAACCAAAGTCACCACAACCGTAACCGTGAGTAAACAAACCGGAACCAATCTTCCACTTACACAGCATTCTTTCTTTCTTTCTTTTTTCTCTTCTTACTTTATTCTTGCGTTAAACACATAGAAAGTTTTCGTTTCTAATTCGGGCGTCGTGACGTCAACGGGAGTCGACGCCGTCGCGTTCCGCCTCTAAAACTCGCACGACTTGCACACGCATTGAGACTTAGACACGGAGTGCAGTGTGAACCGTCCCTTTCACGCATCGCAAAAATTCTCCAAATTCTAAATTTCCCATTCAGTGCAAGACAGATAGACTGCAAAAGTCAAAGCAACTTAAAATCTCAATTAAAATTCAGTTTCCGGCGAGTCATCAAGTTGTCACAGTGCTGGATTACAACGACCCGGAAGAGAAGCTAAAAAGGTAAATGAGAAAAACGTTTAAATTTAGACCCAAAAATGTTATAATACATTCGCGCAATATTTCTATATTTAATGTTGAGCGTGAGATAGAGACGCCGATTCAGAGAGAAAGAACACGAGGAACGCTAAATATATACACACTTGATGTAACAAATCCTCGGCTTTTTGGAAACGTTAATCGCCGAACCACGTTTACATGGACTAATTCGGTTTTAAAAAATTCAAAACTTTACAACTCGTAATTTACTTGAGGATAATCGCGCTCAGAAATTGAAATTCATATTCAAAACGTTAAATAAAATTACTCAAAATTTACATGAAGATAATCAAGTTCCGCGATTTGAGTTCATATTCAAAACGCAATCTATTTTAGATTGGATCTGGATTTTCCGCTCGTAATTTATAAAAATCTGAATGCCAATTTTTTTTATGTATATGTGCAGAAGAGCAAGTGGCAGCCATAGACTAAATTTAGATAATTTATTTGAGAATTTCCTAACAATTTTATGGTGGGCGGTGAATTGTAGTGGTTGTAACGAAAAGAAAAGAACAAATGGAAACTTAAATAAATAAAGTGAGGAAAGGAATGGTGTTTATATGATGTTCAACGACGTGAACCGAAAAAAAATCCATCCGAAACGAAGATATGTTAAGTAAAGTAACCCCGATTCACTTACCCGGCAAAATTAAACGAGACTTTCTTCTTAATTAACTTAAATTGACTTTATTATTTGTCTGACGATTATGAAACTCATTGTCTTGTCAAGTCAGTAAACAAAATGTTGAAATGTATATTAAATAAGAAATAATTATTTAATGAATTCAATTATTAATTAAGTATACATGATGAAAATATTATGAGTTAACATATTCAGATTATGATAAATCTGGGGAAAAGCCTATGTTACACTTATTCAATGACCATACTTTTCTTATTTATTAATTATAAAAAATACGTTGTATGTTAACCGATTCTTCTCATAGCAATACATTGGTTCTTTAAAAATTACACTAAATTAATTGTTCTAATGATCCTACATTATCTTAATATATAAACCACCTAGGTTGGCAATGATTCGATTATGTTTAGAGCAAACATAAAAAGTATCAAATAAAGTATAAAAAACTAAAAAAAAATATTCATAAATGATAATCTAAATAAATATGAAATCACTGTCATTTATTTATAAGTGCGAAACTAATTCACATAATATCCGATTCTGATTAGTGTCTAATTATATGATAAAGTAAGAAAGCTGATAAAACAATCAATACATGATACGTTAGTATTATGCATATTATAAAAATACTAAACAATAATACTTCTGACTAAATCCAGAAAAAAGTTAAACTTGATAAAACAGGAAAGTAAAAAATCTGTTAAAATATTAAATTCCAAAATATTAATTAATTTGTGTTTCATAAGTGAACATATATCAAGAAAAATAATGATTTTTGTATGAATAACGTTAAATGAAACGTTATAGATAATTCTTTTATTTTTTATTGTTTATATGTTGGAAACAAGTACTCCCAATATCAGTTGGTACGTGTTTTCGTGTTAGTAATTCATTTTGCTTGGCTGTCAGTCACGCACAAGTCCTTGGGTCCCTGGCATTAGAGTCGTGTAAAAAATGTCTTTTAATAACAAACACGCACTTGACGATATTTAAGTAAATCACGTATCAAATTGGTGTTGAAACAGCGAGCAATTTCCTTTACGTAAGTTATTTTAAATTTGGGCAATTCAAATATAAGCAAAGAAACAAAAGGAACGTCACATTTCTAACCTAAAAAGTGCATTGATTTAGTTGCCCAGTATAATATGTAACTGTCTAGAAAAATATCTTAACTTATATCTATGAAGTAAAGTGGTAATACTCAAAATACAAAGGTGTCTTATAATATAAATTCCCTAAAATACACATGTTTATAGATAATTTATTTATGTGATATACAAAAACCACAGATACGCTGCAGCGATTAAACGTAGAGGTTTGCGTCATTGGTATGAGTATGTGCGTTTGCAAGACCAAAAATGGTGAGTTTTCGCTCTCCCCGCCTCTCTCTCTCTCTATCGGCGGTTTTTGTGTTTATATGTTTTCGCAGCTTGCGTGATTTACGAGGCGAATTGCGAATACTTGTTGTGAATAAAAACAAACAAAAGTTGATCCACTTTTCACTTTACATCATGTTACTGTGCGGACGCCGCCGCCTCCTCTGCCTCTTCCTTCTGCCGCTCCGTCGGGGGGTCTTAAAATAAAACCCGAATGCACGATGGAGTGTATTTTCGTATTACAAGCGGTGTAGGCTTCCGAAATCCAGAGCCATTATTTAACCAAAAATTGGTTGGCCAACGAGAATCGAATCGAACGAGTGATTTCTATACCGATCGCTACATAGTTTCGAACATTGTAATTTGCAAATCCTCGCAGATTGTCCTTTCGACGTGTTTGAGTGATCTGAGGACGCGCTGCGAGAAAAATGTGGCTAATTAACGCAAAACTTATTTTTGGGACAATGTCAACTCCCACATCCTATTTATAGGGAAGGATTTCCTTCGAGTAAATCATTTAATAATTAACTCAACCGCATATGCGTTTCACTCATATAAACAGTTTCACTTTGATTTATCCCATGAGTTTATTTCATCTGAAATTGACCGTTAAAAAATACTGATATTTTCTATGATCGTAGGCAACCCGAAAATTTTATCAGCAACATTGATTACATAATATCTTATCAAATTCGACATGCTCCACCTAGTGTCTTTGTCGCCAAACATGATCTTTGTTAACTTAATTTTAGAACTGCAATTGTTCTTTATTATTGCTGACATGCATTTCTATTATTATTTACTGCAAGTTTATTTACATTCAAGGAATTATCCTATTTTGGGTAAAGGTCGTGCGGGAACTGCGTCTTTGGTATGCGAAAGCATTTGCGTGATTTTACGTTTTGGGGGGAAATTGACGAAAGCAGCGCTTCTTTTTATGCTGTTTTTGGCACGGGCCGAACCAAAATTTACGCGATCAAGTTCACAGCTTTCCCACGAGGAAAGCACAAACAAAAACAATGTGGAAAATCTGCCGGAACAGCTTGGACACGCGCCTCCATCGATCCAATAAATTTCCATAAAATATTATTTATTAATAATATAGACATGTTCTGCGTGGTCGGATCAAATGAACTTTTAAAATAGTGTTGCGTACACTTCACGCAGACTCTTACATATTATCATGGCTTTGGAAAAGATTTATTTTTAATCTCAATGTCAGGAAATTTTATTTTCAAACGTGTTTATTATAATAGAAAAAACGCACGAGAAGATGGAGAGTACACGGTGCAAAGAAAAAAAAACAAAAAAGAGGTATTTATTTATTTTGTTTGCGTGCGAGAAATCCGTTGCGAATCAGAAAGGATTTTGAACTTGAACTCTACTGAAAACAATAAAAATCATTAGATCTTTTTGTGCTCAATTATGGAAATCGCATTATATTTAATTAAAATTAAAGTCAGTCCACTTTGTGAAAATAACATATAATATTCTTTAATTCTGTTAAACGTTTTATTTGAAAATCAAGATTTTAATATGATTTGTAAATACATACACACTTTATTTATTGAATATTAATGGAATATTTGTAGACTATCTATAAATTAAATAATAACAATAATGACGTTGCAATATAACAGTCATAAAAAAAATACATATTAATAAAATAATTGCAGAGAGTCCATTCAAAGATATATTTTTATTACATCATTAATAAGTTACTCAAATTTTCTTACATCATACTTATAAATTAATATAAAAATATTATTATATGTCCAAATATTATTATAACATAACATTATGTATCGGTTGATCTATACCTGACAAGAACTTAACACATAATATTGCATCCTATTTGAAAACGTGTATCACTAATTATATAAATTACATAATTTTAATTTACATCAGTTACCAATAATGTTGTTATATTATTTATCTTTTTTATTAACAAAGCTGAATTTAGTTTTAAATATTCCATTTATACATTTCTGGATTGTGTTCGATTAAATACTTGCAAATTAATATTTTTGAGGTATTTTGCATAGTGATTTACCAATATTAAGGAGCCTTATTAGGTTAAAAAACAGCAATGTTTAATGTTTACATGAAACGTATCGAATTTATAAATCAGGTATTGCTGGTTTGAGAGGAAGTTAAATCAATGAATAAATTATATAAAAGCGATGCTATTCCATTCTGAAATTCATAAGTCTTTTCTAATAGTGAAATAGTTTTTATTTATGTGCGTGTAATGTGGCAAACTCCCAACGCAAGGTCCCTTTCGAACTACTAGCGTGTTGTTACCAAAATAGGCGAGTGAGTCCAGAGCGCGCGCGGCCTCTTCCTTCTCTCGCTCGCTCCGGCGTCGCGACGCCTTCTCGTCTCGCTTAACGTCGCGGCATCCGCGAGGAGACTCTGAACCGATGCGTATTTATATGTATACATAAACCTATATGTATATAATATATACAGAATGATTATTTGCAATGATTCGAGAGGGCGCCCCAAAAAAGAAGTCGACCGGTCGTTCCGCGTTTCAGGCCCATTTTTACATTCCTCGAATGGCAGAGCTCTGAGCATTGTTTACCTTTTTTGACCCACATCCCGATTTGAATTGCAGGAAAACGACACGCCCCACACCTCCACCAGAAGCTTCACGCATCCTATCGGGCAGGAAGTCTTGGACACCATCTGGGAAGAGCAAACCTTAAAATTACTCGTAAGCCACTCTCTGGGAATACGTAAAACAAATAAGTGAAACAAGTAATTTTTTGCTCATATTTTCCAGTTGGAGCAAAGCACGGAATACGAAGAACGCCGCTTGATCAGATTGAGGTTGAAACAAGTGATGGCAGAAAAAGAAGGTTCGTATAATTGACGTTCTATTGGTTTATTCTAATATATTTAAATTGCAGCATGCGCGGAAGTCGTGGAGAAAACTCTGGAGGAGACCCGTGGAAACGTTGAGGGTGAGTCTTTACTGTTACCGTTGCTACAAGGCGTCCTAGATGCGCCCGAACAGTCCGCCGCAGATTCCGGAACGGAATCGGGCGAAGATCTGAGATCGGGCCTGATAACCGAGGTTCAGAATGCCTTGGATAAGCTCACAGCGTGTCTGTGCAGCGATTCCTCTGACATAACGACGGAGCGTCGGGACTCTCTTCTGCAGTTGGTGACCAAACTGCAGGCTAACCTGACGCCCACTGATCAGGGTTCAGGTTCATCAGAGCGTCGTCTGAATAGATTCGCGAGGCGTCGTCAACGTCAGAACAGACACACTGTAGGCGTTACCAGCGAAGAGTTGGAAGACGCCAGACGATTGATGGAAGAGTTGGCGATGCGCGAACGTACATTAACCAATCCCCTGCAGAAACAGAACTCAGAGAGTTCCGTGAAAACGAAACCTACCGAATTTAGGCCGGTAAAGTTCCAGCCTCACAAGGCCATCAGAAACGCTACCGCCAAACCTTTCAACTTTAACAGTAGCCAATCGGAGACCTCGTCCACAATAGATACTCCCACCGCGGATAATCCGGACCTTCTCTTCACAGACAACTTTGACAACCCTAAATTCAGTCATTCTATTTCGCTAGATCAAGATTTCTTAATCAAGAAGCGACCTCTTTCTCAGACGTTCTCTCTAGATTACTCAAGGGAACCCGCTTCGCTTCAACCAGTGGAGATCGTAGAACCTATTACCGTCATCGAACCTAATCCCTTAAGGGAAGGCGAAACTGTAGTGCTTTATGATCAGAGCATCTACAATAGCACACCAAAACCTGACTTGATTCCCGCCTTCAATCCTGAAGAGCCGGTCTTGCAAAACAATCCAATCTATACAGAGACCGAACATGAAAAGGCGAGCAAGTTTAATAATACCTCTAAGAGATTAAGAATGAAACGTGCCAACACTATTGATATACCTAAACCCTTGAATTTCTATCAATTTGATGATGAAAGTGATACTGACCAGGAGGTAAATACAAGGAGAAGCAACTATTTAGCTTTGAGGGGACCGATTAGGATTGGAAAACAAAACTCAAATCAAACCGTTCCTACCTTTGAACCGAAAACTGACTCAGATAAGAAGTTTATGGCCTTCCTGAACAAACACAACGAGCCCGCTCCGGCCATCCAGAATAAAATTAGTCTTTGGGATAAACAAGCCGATAATAATAATTGGCAAAGGAAGTTTGGCAACATTAAGACAAACTTTGAACAAAAGGGAGGTAATTCGTCAGCGAGGAGCTTCTGGAAGTCAGCCGACGATGCTGTTGCGGCCGGTAGCATTTCATACAATGGCCCAAAAATCAGCAGACAGAACGCTAAGAATCTGCAGCAGATGTTTGAAAACAAAAAGAAGGAAGTGGTGACTGGAACTTTACAGGTGAAGGCAGTGAATCATTTCTCGCATAATCCTCAATCGGCATTCAAACCTATTCAAAAGACGAATGTTAAAGTAAATCAGCAAGACATGTACCTTTACAGTCCGAAACCTTTCGATCAGCCTCAGAACCAAACGCCGTGGTCGGCGAGAGTTGGAGAGAGACGGGTGTTGAGTATGGCTACAAATAAATTCGAGCAGGCTCAGCCTGTTGAGGAAGTAAAGTTTAAACCAAGGAAAATGAGCAAAGAGAAAATAGCAATTCCACCAGTGCTGCAACATAATGAACCTCAATTACCAAAAGTTCAAATCCCCAAATCCGGTGGAAGTGTTAGGAAACTAAGTGGACAGTACGATAGCCTAGGCAATAGGGAATATGTGGCGCAAGCAAACGTTAAGTACGTTCATCAGAGTGCATTTGCACCGGTCCCACAAAAACAAAGCTACCCCAAAGAAACCTATTTACCTCAAAACGAGATTTACAAGAAGGACAGCTTTATACCTCATCAAGAAATATTCAAGCCTCAGCAAGATGCATATAAACCAAAGAATGAAGTATTTAAGTTGACACAAAAGGAGAATGTCGTTATTCACGCACCAAAAATAGAGAGAGAACCTTATGTGGCTCCTAGCTTTCACACGACTAGTCCACAGGTTCAGAATATCCAGCAAAAGACGAAAGTAGATACTTACCAACCATATATCAGCAAAGAACAGGCAAATCTTCACCCGGAACCTCACGTTCTCTATAATAACATACACAAAGAGCCAACGGTCGCTCGACCTAAATACGATTCACAAGTTTCGCAGGAGAGCTTGCACGAATATACTGCAATCAGCAGCAAAGTGATGACTGCGCCAATGGGTCAGCAGGCTGTAACAGTTCAGCAGAACCAACCAAAGACAAGAAATGATCATGACATGGAGGCTGCGTTCACCTTGAAAAACGTTCTGGTAAAGAAGACCGAAGAGAGGAAATCTCCGATTAAACCGAAGTCGCCTAGTTTCCATGGAATTACGCCACACTTCCGCGTGAACGACAAACCATTAAACCTCGAGTCTTTAGAGATAAACGATATGGGCGAGTCTATTGTCACCAGTAAATTCCAAATACCGATGGCGAAAAGCGGTCAGGCATTAAGCAAATCAGATTCCTGGCATCAGATATGTCAGGAGAAGCAGCAGATCGCAAAGAAACCCTCGCCACGCGCCTCGCCCAACGCCAGGACAGTTTTGAAATCGAAATCGTCACATACTTTAGCTTTACCCAAGCAGTTCGAGGCGAGTATGACTCGCGAAGAGCAAGCGACCAAGAACAAAATAATGGAAGCGTATTTTAGCGGCGGTTCCAAATCACCTCAGCCGAAGCACCAACAGAAGAAGTCGTCGGTGAATAGGACGAAGACCAGCCAGAAGTCGTCTATGTCGACAGGTCTGTGCAGGTCGCGGACCTTGCCTGATATCGTGTGCGCGGATTTACTCGACGAAACTAACGTTGACGCAGCCTTCGAGGATTTGTTCAAGAAGAGCGCCTAACATCCATTGTGAGGTCTCAAAAACTACCATCAACCAAAACCACCCCATTTTCTAAAACCAAAAATGAAACCAAAAACTTTAAAAACCCTCAAAAAACGTTCATTCCATTACTTTTGTTTCGTTTTTGATTTTTTTTTCTAATTTTTAAATCCCACTAGATATTAAGGTGTTTAAGTGTTTTTTCTTTATATAAGATAACCCGAGAGAACGAAGAGAACGAATTGATCGCCATTTCACAATGTTTCTTTTTGTATTTTTTTCGTTTTGTAACAACAACCGGCAACTACACAGCGAAATTCGATAATTGACTGAAACGAGTGGTTGATCAATGTGAGAAAAAGAGAGTGTAAGAGTTGGTGTGCGGTGCGCACACCAATCCTCGAGGGAGAAAGATCCGAAAAAGAAAATTTTTCTTGTCGCACCAGCCAATGGTGAGAGATAGATAAAGCAATTGGTGTGTTATGTGTTGGTGTGCGCACCCACTAATACGCTTGTATTAAATTACGCAACACCTCCCAGCCCCAACAGCATCAACAACAACAACAAAAGAGTACTTGTTTTTGTTTGTTACGTTTATTTTTTTTTATTTTTTTACATAAAATTGTGTCCATTCGAAGGAAAGAGAAGATCATCTTTTTTTTTTATTGAACCAAACATATCGAAATTAACGTTCTTCCTTCTACTTTTCTGTACCTACACGTTAAATACAAATAGAAAGCGACAATAAACAAACTCGCAGTATGAGCGATGCTTTTGTTTTTGTTTGATAATCCTTCATTAATTCCACAATATTATACTCATTTTTTGTTTGTTTTTTGTTTTACAAGAAGAGACCGCAATCGGTCTTTGGTTGCGGTTAACTCTGCGAACAGAGATCATTTGCGATCCAAATATTCGAAGCAATCTCTTCACAAATTTACACAAACATGCTAACAGCAAACAAAAAGGAAACAGCTGCTCGATGCAAGCAAGCAACGCTTTTTTTGGTCCACTCTTTGTTTTTTTGTTTCCGAACCTCGAATAACAGCAACAATCGACTTCTGTTACTAATAGTAGATTACAATTGAATTGTTTTTCAGCCTGCGTGTGATTTTCTCTATAATAATTAAATGCATGTCTTTACTCTTCGTAGTTGTGGATTTTTCTAGCTCTATTTTCCCATTGTTTTATTTTTTAGTTTTCAGTGTTACTTTTTCCCCTTTATTTCAGTGACTTATACGATTAATCGTTGCGCCTGTAATTTTAATACATGTTCTTTTTGTTTTTTTTTTATAATAGTATTGTATTCCTATCGTAACCATTTGATTGCCTCTATATAAGTCTGATTTGTTATTTCAGGAAAAATGGAGACGACCAAGAAAACCGTTACAACCACGGAAGGGCCGCACACAAAAACCCAAGGTACTTTATTTAAATAACTATTTTATTTAATATAGTGGATGCGCAAGGTTGTTTTCTACAATATTTCTTTTTTCTTAGTGACTACGCGCGTCACGACTACGCAACAGCAGATGAAGAAGCCCGTATCGGCGTTCGCGAAATTCCGTCAATTGGATAAGCAGAACAGCCTGAATACGCCGCCAAGGTAAGCTTACTACAATAATTTAAGTATGAAATCCGAAAAGAAAAACTGAAAAACATCCGCAATGCTTTTAAATTATTGAATATAGGTGGCAAGTTATTATTAGTAAAGGTTGAAGGGTGCTTATCTCCTCTTATTTTGTGTCGCGTCAATGGCATTTACTTTATCTGCATTTCGTTATTGTTATTTTAAATTTCGTGGTGTGAGGAAGTGTACGTGGAGAGTAGAAAACAACTGTGATTAATTGGCTTTTTGGTACTTAGTACCCCTAAGACTCCGACCAGCGGCGGGCCCCTCTTTAAATTTACGGACCCGAATTTGAGACAAAGCGCGAGTACCATCAAGGAGAGGTTGCTCCAATGGTGCCAGATGAAAACTAAGGAATACGAGGTAAAATTCGCGTCTAACTATTTTTTCCAAGGCACTAACAAATTTAACTCCTAACGTGTTCGTATCTATTGTTTGTTGCTGTTGCTTTACAATCATTAATTCTAACTAATTGATAATAATCAACATATAAGTTACGAGTGCATAGGCATTTGGCGGTTTTATCACTTTTACCAATCGATTAAACTTGTTTTATTAACTATTTACAGAACATAAAACTGGACAACTTTTCTACGAGCTGGGCAGATGGGCTGGCGTTCTGCGCCTTAGTGCATCACTTCCTTCCGGACGCTTTCGACTACCACCAACTCTCGCCGAACAATCGCAGACACAATTTCACACTCGCTTTCCAAATCGCCGAGTAAGTCACCAAAAAACTCATAAATCTTAAAAAAAATGGTGCTAATATACTTTTAAATTTAGTGAGAAAGCAGACATCGCTCCACTGTTGGACGTCGAAGACATGGTGGCGACCCGAAGGCCCGATTGGAAATGCGTTTTCACTTACGTCCAGTCCATCTACAGACGATTCAAGGACGAGGATTAGATGACTATTTGTACTTTTTTTCCTGTAAATTGAAATTCGCAGTTTTCGTCTGAATCGGGAACCACACCACCAAGCATTAAATGATCCAACTGGTATAACACAGTATTATTTTCAGTACCTAACGACACCCATCGATCGTTTCCGATTCTAACGAAAATTGCATTTGAATACTCTATAACAAAAAAAATATGCTAGCAAAAGAAAGGAAAATGGAATATTTGTGTTTTCGTGTTTATTTTTTTTTTTTTTTTACTTACAATAACTGTGATTTTCTATTTAATTTTCATTTATTTATTGTAATTTATTGTTTTCACGGAAAGAGAGTTTCAGTTTAATGTGATACGTGGTGTTAAGTTACACAGCCGATTTGCCCAGCTTGAAGTAGAAGAGACGAGTTTTTATTTTTTACAATTACTATAACCACTACTACTACTACTACAATTATTATTATTTAAAAAAAAATAGCAAAAGATATGAAGATCAACGATAACAAGTTTCCAGCTTTTATTATTAACTCTCTTTGTTAAGGTAGATATTTTGGGGTGTTGTTTCGCTTCTTATTTCATAATTATTGTTTATTACCAGAAATTGTTGTTTTATATATGAAAGCATGTTGTTATAAATTCTAGTTATGATTCGCATTCAAATTTTGTTACAAAATACGTACACTCGGCAAAAATCAACAACGATTCGTTTATTCTCTCTATATATTTAAACATACAAATTCTATATATATTATTTATATTACCATATCTTTTATATATACATGATTATATAAATTTTATTAACATAATATATTTCCGCTTAAAAATATGTGTTGTTTGTTAATTATTTCCTATTTTTTCCTCGATTTTATTTATGCCGTTTATGTAATTTAATTTTATTCAGAATCTGTTCATCAATGTGAACATTGAGTAAATTTAAGATCGCGGTTGACATTAAATGGATAATATTTCCCAGTTGGTAGTTACCATTATGATGATTTGATTTATTCCTCTTATCATATAATAGGTGTAGATTTTAATCGATTTAATTGAATTATAGCCAGTGGTGGAACTACAATGCCGCTAATGCAATTTTTGCATGTTTAAAAAAGACCCATTATAAAAACAAGTACAGTGGAACCTCGCTTAACGAGTTTAATCCGTTCCAAAATTTCCGGATTTTTACTCGCATAATGAAACATATTCAAAAATACACAAAATATGTGTACACAAGTTTTAAAAATGATATAGCAGGCGCGCAATCCGGGACTTCTCTTCTCATCGTCACTCGTTATGCGAAACGTCGCTCGTTAAGCGAGTCATTTTTCTTACAATTCTTTTAGCTCGTTATGCGAGGTTCCACTGTAGATGTATTATTTCATATTTATAATCTTATTTTTATGTGACAAAATCATGGTTTTTTATTGCAACATTTTTAATTGCGTCATGAAAATTATAAAGCGAGTTACCCGATTCCAGTGATCTCATCTCGCGCATTCCAATTTATCTACTTACCTTTAATCAGAGAATTATTTGTGATTAAATTTAATCAAAGAATATTTTTAAAATAATCATCAAGAGCAAGATAATGTTAACAATTTGAAGTAGGGCGTAAAATTGAAAATATAAACTTTTTAACTTCAAAAAAAAAGTATAAAATGCATTCCATCTATAGGTGTGACCTGGAACTATGATACGAAAACATTTAGTCATGAATTCAGTTGTCAAATATCTGAGAAATTGTTGACAGTCGGCAAATAGGTTATAATTGATTACAGTCGTAAATTTTGTAATTAAAGTATTACTTTGCAAAATGTCATCCGAGGAAGAAGGTAAGATTAAACTATGATACATACCACAATCTATATTTCTTGTATTAATTAATTTTTAGGTCATGCCAGTGATGAAAATCAGTCAGACAGTGAGAACCAGTTAGTGAATAACATCATGATTGTTGATCCAGACACTGAGGAATTGGATCTGAATCATGGCCGCATCAATAAGATGCAAAATTTGGAGCCACTTAGATGCATCGAACGGTTGTATCTCAGATGGAATCTAATAAAGACCATCGAGAATCTGCACACTCTTACCACGTTGAGGGAACTGGAGCTCTATGATAACCAAATAACAAAAATGGAAAATCTGGATGCTCTAGTCAATTTGGAGTTAGTACATCTCTAAACAATTTTATGCTTGTGCAACAATGTGAGTTTTCTTTAAGGATTTTGGATCTATCCTTCAATAGGATTAAACAAATCGAAGGCATGGAACGACTTGTTAACCTGGAGAAGCTGTTCTTATCATCAAATAAAATCAGCAAAATGGAGAACTTGAGTCATTTATCTAAATTGAAGCTCCTAGAGCTAGGTGATAACAAGATTAGGGTTATCCAAAATATTGATGATTTGGTGAATTTGAAGTATTTATACTTGGGCAAAAATAAAATCACCACTATACAGAATCTGGATTATCTTCAGAAGCTAACTTGTTTGAGTTTGCAGAACAACAGGATTACCAAGATGGAGAATATGGATAATCTAGTTGAACTGGATGAGCTCTATGTTTCAGAGAATGGTATTCAGGAGATTGAGAACTTGGAAAACACTTTAAAACTGGAGACACTGGATGTGGCTAAAAACCAATTGAAGACTATATCAAATGTGGCGCATCTAACTAAACTGGAGGAACTTTGGGTAATTATTATTGTAGTATTTTTACATAATACAGACATTCTACATTTTTTTTTGTGTTTCCAGTTGAACGATAACCAGATTGGCAACTGGAATTGCATTCAAAGCTTGGGCGATCTTCATTTGCACACGATCTATTTGGAACGTAACCCTGTTGCTGAGGACCCGGCTTACCGTAGGAAGCTGAAGATGATGATTCCATCTTTGAACCAAATCGATGCAACTCTATGCCATTAATCATTATATATATTCAATATGTTTAAAACATAATCCATAAATTTCAGATCGCCGCATTTTAATTATAATTTTTAAATTATATATATTTTGCATCGCATACGTACAACGTGCGCCATATTCCTATGAGCTTCTATCCTGTATTTTCTAACTATAATAACATTAAACTATATATACTAATATCCGCAAGTTATAATTACACCAGGTTTAAATATTTTTGTAATTCACTATCATTGCTTTTGTAGTGCTCAGCGTAATTATATGCTGAATTACTGTTTATAGTCTAGTATTTTTATCGACATATTATATGTCAGTTTAACAAAATACTTGAGTAATACTTTACAATTTGGTAAATATCAAGTTTAATAATTTATAAACGAATAGATTGAATTAGATTATCAAAGTTTCTACTACAATCAACACTCAGTTGCCGTACACAAAATATAGTTTCGTATAAATAGATTAATTTATTTTCTTCACGTATTTTATCATTCGTATGATAGACTTAACCGTCTTATTTTCAATTCAACTAACAAAATTGTACGTTCATACGAATATTTGCACATTAGTTCGTCCAGAGAGTTATAAATAAGTATTAGCCAACTTACGTTAAAAGTATATACTTTATAGAGCGTTAGCTGCATATAATTTGTTATCATGTTAAATTTTATGAATGACAACATATTAAGGAGCGGACTTTTGCCTTTAGAATCATTTCAAAGTAGCTATACTATATATAACATAAAACTAAAACTCATCCGTTTTTGAACAAAGTTCGGTTCCTCAAGAGGTAATCTAAAATATTAATGGAGGGGCATTAAAATAAAAAGAAATATTCATTGTTAATACAGTTATTTGTTCATTTATTACATCATCCCATTATTGTATGACATCGAAGATATGTTATTATAACGATATAGAATATTCCAGATGATTTTTTAGTCTTTTAAGTGAGTATCGAGTATCATCCGAACTGCCGCAGCTGTGAGCCGTAAAGTATTTGGTTGGAGAATGTGAAAAAAAAAGTAATCAAACGGCCAAACATGAAACTTAACGAAACGTAAACAATAACTAATTAATAAATACGGTGTACACAATACACAAATCTAAAGGCAACCATAATGATATCAGCTAAACGAAATAATGAAACGAAAAACTTGTAAATGTAACAACTGTTAAAAACATCTCTCAATATTATCATTATTAGTGTTTCACTTTTTTTTTCAGTATATAATATATTACATTATAAATATCTATAAATGACTAACAAACAAATTTAACATTTCCATTCGAAAACGAATCGGATTAAATCCCACTTCAATCGTTTAAATCATTGGTAAAAAATAAAATTCAACAAAACGTAAAAAAAATGTAACGTAATATCGTGGTAACTCATTGGTATTTCCAATCCTTGCGTCTATTGTACTTTCGAAAAGTAAACGAAATATACATAATATACATGTATATATATATAATAGATAGATATACACTTTTTTGTTTTCTAATTACAATTAATATAACCATCATCGTCGTCTTCGCAGAATCGAATCTTCCCTGTTCGAGTGACGTGAATGATTTGAGGAAACATTATCACATCGATAATTATTATTATATATAGATTATTTGCCGTACATGTTAAGGCGGAGCCGGGCTCGAAGGAATCCCGGCTGCGAACTCTGAATACAATTACATCATCATCATCATTATAATCAATATCATTACATTTATAATACACAATTCAGACTTTGTTTTCCGTATCAATATTATTAGTAATTATTTGGTCAAATCTATATGTACTTAACAAAAACCAAGGGGGAGGGGGGGTAGGTCATTACAACAAAATAAACCAGTAATATAATGTTTCTTGCAAATACTGCACTTCCGGATCGCATCTGTTGAATGTGTTACAAGCTTCCGGGCTTTTAACGGAATTGAAAAGTGAATGCGACTAGAGGTGGAGCCTACGGAAATGGCTCCAATTTATTTATTTGTTGATTTATAATTATTGCACTAGGGTGAAAAGACGCGGAGACTTCTTAGCAAGGTGGTGAGGACGTTGGCGAGGGTCTCGGCTTCAGCGGCCAAGTGTTCTTCGATCGTGACCGAAGAGGTGCGATCAATGTTGGAGTTGATGAGGTGACGGAAGGCGGCCGTAACATCGTGGACTTTGAGGATGAGGTTGCGCGTCTGCAGGGGTGCCGTCGTGTGGTTACCTAAGTCTGAGCAGAGTTCGGTGAGACGCCTGAGGATGGTCAAACAGATTGCTAGATGTTCGGGTAGATCTGGTAGGTTTGGTTGGTCGGACATGGCGATTACCAGCATCTTGCTTGAATGGACCAACTGTAACGATTGTGCTGTCAATTCTTCTTTAGCTACCTGAAAATATCAATATTAATTAGTATAATGTAAAATATCGTACCTACAAAGTCTTAAATTGGCTTTTTTAGCCAATATAAAATATGAATTCAAACGTAATTTAAATTAACCAAACTAAATTAATCTAATGCCATTTTCAATTTAAAAAAAAATTGAAAAATGTTAGAATTGAACTTCATATTTGAATTTTATCTCAAACAAATAAACTTGAACATAAAATCTCCGGGCACAACCGTCGGACTATAATATTGTACATTCGTACGAATATTTAAATACTAGTAGTTCGGACATATACAATCGGTTAACTTAAAGCTGGCTACAAAAAATAATGGAATTTCTTTTATCAATAGAAATAAAATATTATATCTTATAATTAGTAATTTATGGTTTACCTGAAATTTATCTTCAGACATAAGTCTACCGCCTCCATGGATTTGAGCTGCAGTACACTGTGCTGCAACCTGGTCTAAACGTACTAACAAACTGGCCATTGCCACGTCCGTTTTCGCCAGAAGATTCTCCCTACTGGACATGCAGCCATTTCGAACCGGCGATGAGCTACAACTACCATTCCTACGGAATGGACTACTGCCAGACGCGGAGGATTCCGACTGGCTGCGAGTGTGTTGCTGCTGCTGTTGCTGGCCCACTACCTTGTTAACATAGTCTATGGGGACGGTACTAAACTGAACGCCCCGTCCTACAAACCCGTTCGATTAAAGCATGCAGCAGGTGTATTCTACTGAAAGCATTATTTACCTAAGTACGGCGATGTCGGTGTACTGATTGCAGTGCTTTGTTCGCCGCTGAACTTGCTCCTTTGCAGATGCGGTGATCCAATTCCTGCAGTCTTCGGAGCGGGCGCGCTGGTCTTGCGGCTGCGAAGCACCTCCAGCGGTGGCACTGGAGGTAACGGCGGTTTCTTTGGTGGAAGGAATAAATGAGGCGGTGGTTGATGGTGGCTTGGATCGTCGCGCGGCGGTAACTTCGGAGGAAACTCAGCTGCACGACATGAAGACGTCAAGGATTGCGACCGCTGTCTTTCGACCGTAATATTCTTCGGCGGTCTTTCTGGCGGTTTGTGATCTGATGACCTTCTCGGAGATAACTAATTGAAATTGTTATAATTATAAATGTTGGTGTCCAGATTGTGAAATTATAAGATTAAGTACCTGCAAGGCCGGTTCCTCTTTGGTGCCCTTTGAGCAACAAGAGAATGCTCCTTTCCTATTGATCGTAGCGTACTCGATGACGTTGTTAGACTCGGGTTCCGGAGGAGGTGGTATGATATAGGACATTATCTCCTCCGGTGTGAGCTCCACAGCAGGTGTGACCTTCTGAGTGGGCGGAGGCACCGTCACGCTTGCCAGGAACTCCTCCAGGTCAAGATTCTCATGGAGCACGCCTAGTCGATTCAGCTTCTCGATGGAATCAGCAAAAGTGATCGGAGGTAAGTTGATCGGCGTCGGTGGTGCCTGAGTCGCGTCAAGTTCATCAGGTGTCGCCGGAGGCGGCAGCATCGTCAGGTCGATAATATCCTCGAAAACGTATAAATCGCTTAAATCACTCTTACTCTCCTTCAGTTTCTCCAGATAATCTCTTAAGTTCTCCGAGTTTGTCTCACTAGATGACCCGTTAGAGTTGGGACTATGCAGACCGAAGCTGATGCGCACATTCCTGTTGACTGCCTCGCTGTGCTTAGGAGAATTATGCGGACTATACACGCTGTCCGTGTCGCTCTCGGAACAGTTGATTTCTGAACGCAGCATCTCAATAGCGGCATTCGTAAACGAATTTCTTCCGTTCTTCGCCTCTTTGTTCAAAAGTAACAAAGAATCGCTGTGATGCAGACCATTGGGACTCTCCGAGTCGCTTTCAATATCCACGCTGGTTTCTAGCCACTCCTGTTGCAGATACTTCTCGGAATCCTCTACCATTTTCTCCATTTCTTTAATTACCTCATCATCTTCGTTTCTACTATTGAATATATCCAAAGAATGGTTCTTGTTTACTATAGAAGAGTTCATATTGCTGTCTAGGCCAGTGATCAGTTTACTCTGCCTGCCCATCGTGTTGTACAGGCCGTTAGTCTTCCGACTAACGCCCTGGTATGTTGGTCTTGACGCAAAGCAAATAGTCTTCACCTGTTGCTGGTTAGTATAACTCCACTTTTCCGGAATTACCTTATGCTGTGATAGATAAGGAGGAGCCAAATCTTCAACAACTTCCAGCTCTTCCTTGTCGACGGACAGAGGCATTCCAGTAGCCAAACGGTAATAACCACATAATACAAGAACTAACTCATTAGCATCCCGTTCTTCCAGAGAAATGTTAATGCTGCCTTCATCCTTCAACTTAATACTGACCGCTCTACTAAGCTCATCCTCGATTCTCACTTCAATTTTCGTCATGTCTTCGATATTGGCGATCGGTGCTGGCTGTAAATGAATAATGTATAAAATCTAATCAACTGTTATGATTGTATATAAATTACCACCGAATTTCTGGAGCCCATTATCTGACTGATCCCGAATTTCGGACTGACAAGGATGACGCGTTCCATCGAATCTGCGCGAGGACCCGCCGAGAAACACTTGGCTCCATAACTTGGTAGCTGGTTCACTAAATCCAAATAATGCAACTTAGCCTGAAGAGCTGTCAACTGTTTGCCAGGTCCAGCCATGCTGGCGTGCATCTTCAGGAAATGTGCCACCAGTTTTCGCACTTCTTTACGCTTCATCTTCTCCAGCAACGAGGCGGGTACAAAACGCTCCAAACCAAACTCCTTCCTAGAACAACAACAACATACGTTCATGCAACTGTAAGGCATCAATGAAAGCGCATAACTCACTCTACGACTTTAACGGTCAATTTAGCAGCTTGCATGTTATTGGCGAGAGCATGCTGATAGACGTGCAGAGCCGCCAGCTTTAAGGCTGTATCGTACTGCAACTCGGGCGCGAACCTCTCCTGGATAACGTCGTTACAGCATTGAGTAAAAAGATAGTCGAGGGCTGCCAAGTCCTGCTGGGCCAAAGAAGCAGCGGACGTCGGTACAAAGGCTATCCTGTACAGACATCGCAACTTGTGGGCGCCCGGCCTTGAAGCAATCTGTGTAAGAAAATCACCATGAACGATGGTGATAATAAATGTCGTAAACAAGAAACTACGTGAAATATTTCGTAAGCGAAAAAATCATTAGGTGCAAAAATAGTTTTCAATGATTAGAAATATAATTTATCAAATTTATGTTCCTAGCATTAAGTTTTTAACTGCAATTTAAATTTAACGAGATTGGCCGCTTTCCCAGAAATAGTTGATTTCGTGAGCAACTCATTGTTTTTCAACTATATTTAAACAACACGTGTCGCATTGTTAGTCTTTCAACACCTTTAATTTGAAATACTAAAAATATACAATAAAACCATATTGTAACATTGAAAATTCTTAATATAGTTTTGTATACAAAAGAAAACAGCTGCAAACGTAGTGACATATTCTAAATTAAACAAAATAAAATAAAAACATTTTAGTTTCGTTAGTTGCAAAATTATCCTCATTTACTACAGTAACATTCAACAGTAACCCATTTATTATGAATTAGTCACGCAAAACCAATTAATCCAATTAATTAAATATTATTTATATATGAATGAAATAACAAAGATTTTTTTTATGTATCTAAGCAAATGTTTTATTATATTTTATAAAAACGCGTCAAAGTTAATTTATTAAAAGACTCATAATTTTTAAGGTACTTTTTGAACATAATGTTTAAGATACTAAAATTGTTTATTGTTATATTTTTTGTTAACCAAAACTGTGAATATTATCAAAAAGTACCATAGAAACTTGGAAATGAAAAATAAAATCATGTTCTGATGTTTTGGAATTATTTCATAGCGCAGATTACGGTAATATTGAACACATTGGTTAAAAAACGCGGTGCAGTGTGTATTTTAATCATGCTGGGTTAGTTAATGATGGAGATTCATCATCTCTGGTATAATTGTGCATATATATAGAATTATTATGTAAATGTTCGCATGATTGAACAGTGCCTATTGTTTCGTTGAGTACAATCGAAGAGAGATATTACTGACAGATATTGTGCTATATCAATATGTAAGTATTGTGTATTAGTCTGACATGAATTCTATGAACCGTAAGAATTCCAAATATTAATTACAAATACATATATATTTTAGCAGAACTCACCCTTGCCAGAGTGTCGGATGGATCGAGAAGGGTGAGCTTGTTCCTCTTCAACGATTTGATATGTTCAACGACAAGGCTAAAATGCTCGGTGGCGTTAAGGCATAGTTTTGTCTGCAACGATTCGACGACATCCTGAACGGTAGTCCATGCGTCGTACTTGAAAGACTTGGTTTGCCCGTTCTCCAGAAAGACCTTGAGGACGTTGGCCATCGGTGGCACGCAGAGGTCGCCCAGCGAGAAGGCTGACGGAGGAAAGAGTGGCGCTCCATTGACGCAGACGCTCTCAGCGAACCTCACACGACTCGGCTTTGACCTGAGCCTTGCCCTTTTGCTCGCCGACAGCAGGGTCGACTTCCTTGCGCCCCGCTGTTCTGAGGGCTGACAGACCACCAGGCTGACGCTGGATGGACACGCACGGACCAGAGATATTACGTGTTCTCTTGGTGCCAGCTTCACGTCTTCACCATTCACAGAGATTATTTGATCACCTGGTAGAAGCTGCAGTAGATGAAAGGGCAAAGAGTTAAAGTGCTGGGAGACTATGGAGAGACGAGATACCAACCTTATCCACGCTAGGTCCTCCTTCTGTCACGAAACGAACTATAACGGGCTTCTCTGAGCCGGCTACGAAACCGAAACCAAGCGAAGGTGACCTCTCAAGTACCACTACCCGGGGCTCCGGCACTTCCACGGGCATAGATGATTTCACCACCGGGGTCTCGTATGTTGTTGTCTTATTCACATGGCTAAGGCAATAATAATATGATTAGCATCATCTGATAGTTGACGAATAACAATTTACATAATGCAAATCCGTGTAACACCCGAAATCCTAACACTAGAACTATTTTTATGATCTATTTCTACTCTCAATTCTACTCCTGAAAGTATGATTTGAATAGATTACGTTTGTGAAATATTATATGAATTCGAATATTGAGTACAAGATTTAAAATACAGTTTTTACATTTGCACTCTTTTACAGTTTTCTATAATAGGACTCTTACAGACCGAAAACACTTTGTTACAATGTTAGGTTTTAATAAAACGTATTTTTACGTAATATACACAGTTAATATTGATAATTCTGTAGATTTTATAATATTACACATAGCATAATTATCAAAACCTAGTTACAAAATGATCAAAGCTGTCATCAAAGAGTCGACCTAAAATCAACGACGAGTGAACAGATTAATGACTAAAACTAATGTTCCATATGTCATAGATCCCACGGGAGCATTTTGCCTGCAACGCAACCAGATTACCGTTTAATTTACTATCATATTGCTTTTTAAATAATATCATTCTAAAGAACAAACGTTTCGTAATTTAATAAAATAATAATTTAAATTAAAACGTAGAATTTAATTATACATGTAATCACGAATTAGAGTATTTGTACGACGAAAATGCGATTAGGGGCTGAGAGTATTACGAATATAATTACAGTTGATTACAGTTACAGGGTATTACACCTTGTAATTGTAATTATCTTAGATTTAGCAAATATGTAAATTTCACCGCATAACAGTATTTGTAAACCCGTCCTGATTCGATTAAATGTAGGATTCAGATGAAGTATGAAAGTGTTACTGCTCAAATACATAACTTGTGAAATACTCTTAGCAATTAGGGACAACACATTTGTTGTACAGCTATGTACAATAAATATATTGAGTCGCAAGGCAAAAAGGTTGAAAAATGCAGTTCTAGATCATCTTTTGTTGAATATCAAATTGACTTTTTAATTAAACACGAAACAGCCAACGCGATGATTGGACAAAGACCCAAGCATGCACTCCAGGCTAAATCTATATCCTTTATCAAATGCTTTTTGTTTTATGGGGAATGGGAATAGTCCACCAGAACTAATTAATAGAACGACGATAAACGTTACAAATAATAATATTGCATTGAATTATAATTGTAAATTGTCAAAATAATAAAATACATTTTGTATAATGTCCAGTACAGCATTTTTTGGACGTATAACGAAATATTGTGAAATGCCGTATAGCAAGGTATAGGTCTAATTTTGTTTTCAAACAAAAAAGTGGAACTACATTATAAAATAAGCACTTAAACTAAAATTAACGAAACTTTAAATTGTCATCGTCAATAATAAGTTTAGTGACTCAACTCCTTCAGTTTTATATTGTATTATGGTGTTAGTCTTGTGTCAAGACTTGCAAATCAGCTCCACTTTCTACGACAGTGACATTCTATTTGGTGCTTGAACGTTGCTGATGGACGTCAATCTGTGCTAATATCATACATTTTGAAGTGCAGTCAGCGCTCACTTTTAACATTCGTTTGTTAATATTTACATAGTACATCATTATTTAAGGCTCTACAAGTCATAGAGCCTTATTCATACAAACGTAAAATAGTATTTGATCATTCGGCTGTAGTGCACGGAACATTTATATTATGTAATTTAATTTTTATTAAGTTCATGTATTTTTTTAAACAAAATATTAAAAAAAAACAGCTGTATTTTTATGAAATGTTGAAATAATACTTACTTCACATAGTATGATCTTCCGGAATCGTCGACGGCCCTCTCCCAGCCGTACGGAAGAGAATCCTCGTCGGACTTCCAAGCTTCGGCTGGCGGCAGCCATCCGGCCGTCCGTGTTACGTGGCTGCAACAAAGAATTTTCCTATGAAATCATCGCTCGGCATAATGCATAATGGGCTCTGCATAAAGGCGAATGCGGAAAATGCTAATTTTTCAATTCGCTCGTCCATTTATAATATGCAATTCCCCTTTTCAACACAGGGCTAAATCCATCAAACGATGCTGCACACAAATGGCAAAACAGCGTTTTCAGCAATTCCGTTTCGAGCCTAATTTATAGTAAATTATCTGTATTTTTTCATGTAAATTGCATTACGACAATTAATTAATTGTATAATTCAGTCAACCGAGTAAACCCATGAAAATTAGTGTAGTTTGCGTTTGAATTGTTTTCGATAATTAATGATCCTGCAGCAAATCCTGCTCAAAGAGCAACTTAATATCATGCTATAACGCGATAATTATCCGCCATTGTCCTGACGTCCCCGTCGTTCTCGTTCACCGATGAAATTGAGAGTAAAAGAAGAAAAGAAAAAAGTCATCAACCCGACCTTTGCCGATCAAAAAATCGGAAACACGTTTCCATAATGACAGACTTTAATGCCAACTTGATCCAACTCCATCGACAATCGTTCCATAATTACACCATTATTATAAGCATTTTATATGGATTATGATTTTATATAGAATTAATTGCAAGTGCGCAGTGGAAAGTTTCTCTCCACTTCTTCGCGCTTCGAGGCCGAATAATCTTCGTCCTTAGTCTATAATGCAAGTCTCTTTCTCGATATCGATTGCGACGAATCAAAGAGTACTTTAACAATTCCCTACAAACGTAGGCGGAGATGAGGAGCGTGGATACGGCTTATCGCATTTATTTATAAACCGCTTCAACTCCTCGGTACCAGCAACAAACAGTCCCCGGGTTCAACGAACGTCCTCCACTGAATCCGATTGAGTAACCATAAATGTATCCATCGGGGATCATTGTTGCGCGCAGTATGCATCTCTTGCGGATGATCCATCCGTCCATCTACAGTAGGCTATCCAATTCATTTGATAATCCAATCAATCCCTTTGCGAAATTCAACAATGCTGTTGATTAAGCTGACGATGTGGTTTGTTTATCGCGGCTCGACCAAGTGTTTGGTTTTCCTCTTCAGGGTGAATCCCCAAAGTCCTTCCTCCCAGCACGTGTTTTGGTCGGCACCGCAAATGAATCGAGACGCCTCAAATAGAATAACTAAATCGTCTCTCCGAGAGTCCAACTATATTCACGTGAATTGTTTAGTGTCCTCGCTTAGATTAGACACCAAAAACGGGCGAAGCCGTGAAAGAAGGCAAGACCAAAGTGCATCTAAATCTATTATTAGACGGACGTGACGGGAATAGAACGGATAGGATTTATCTGTTGTAGGTGTCGAGTTTTGGACACGATTTTAGAAATCCTACACCTAGCGTAGCTTCAAAATTCATTAGCGAAACATATTAATCATACCTTAATTTGACTTTCATCGTAAAAGTTATAACTGTTTACGTAATTAAATCATGCAGATTCACTTATAAAATAGCATTTTAAACTTAATTGCATCTTAAACTTGATAAACGTCAAAACATTGGCATTTGGTTTAAAACTTTTTAAACACAATCTTACACAAAATTAAATAAAAATTGTTACAATTAGAAATTGAAAAAACAATACTTTAAATATAAGCAAATTAAAAAATCTCAAATATATAAATTAACATATTTAAAATATTATCAGTAGTAAATCACAACATCCTTTGTTAAACTGGGAAATAATTATTACTAAACAATGTTTGGCAATAAAGGTTAATTATTATCATATCAAACTATGCTCAGACTTTGTTGGCTCTTTAGTTTTAGGCAATTGTTGGAACTCGTAATTAACAATTTACCTGAAATTTCCGTGTTCAAAGGAAGTAAAATTATTTATTTCCAAATGAATCACTTTGATCTATAATCAGCAATATTGAAACGTGATCTATAGAAAAGGCGTTGTCGTGCAGAATTTATATTTTAGTACTAACGACAGATTTTAATTATTAGTATTTATCTAAACCATTTTTATTTCAATAGTAGAATAATTTGAAATAAAATGTATTAATCAATACATATGAACTCGCATTTTAGTAGAGTTTTACGACTTTTGAATGCAAAAAGGATTTGGAAAAAAGAACATAAAAACAAAACTTCTATATATTTAATTCTAAATTTACGGAATTTTCTGGTTGAGATTTTATATTGTCCAAAATGCAATATTGAAGAAAAAGGAAAATACTCTTAAAACGACATTAAACAATTATTTAGATAAACTGTATTATTAATCAAAACAAGTAGATTTGAATTCATTATTATTTGACAAATAAGATTACGGCTCTGTTGCGTATAGTGTTTGTAGGCCAATCTTAAATATTTAATCTTAATCATTTAATTCTGTTCAATATCTGCAAGTATTTTTTTATAATATACCATTTTTGATTAAAAGTTTAAACTTAACGATATTTTTTATGTGCGAATTTCTGCGTCTTACAATAGCTTTTTTTTTCTATAATCGATACTGACTATCACTCTATAGATATTCCCTTTACGTTTAGTAAAGAATCCTTATAAGTTAATGCAGGTACATTATATTTTTCTTTTGTTTTGTGCTTCAATTTCTTTCTTTAATTTTATTTTACATTAAATGGTACATTTAAATCAAATATAATAATTGTTGTATAATTAATACCTAAATACTACAGTACGGTTTGAAAATTTCAAAACGAACTAAATTTTAATTGAGCAAAATAAAAAAAAACATAAAATATCGTTTTTTTATAATTTGTCCAATCAAACATCTTTTTGTGAAGTATATTTTTATGCGATTTTAAAGGGTATGTAGAAATTTGTTTCTATTTTGAGTTAAATAAATATATATAAATATATTTAATTAATAAATCAATAGTTTTATTTTCTATATTAATATATATATCTATTCGATTTTGCTTTGTAATGGTCTGAAAAAGTACAAACTAAAGAAGTTTCCAAGGTTTTAAAAGTATTAATAATACAATGTTTTACTAGATATTGAAGATAAATTAATTTAAAGGAAAACAATTGGACGTACAAGATGTAACAAAGTTTGATAATTGTATTTCTTTTTACAAAGTTTCTCGAACTAAGTTACCTAACATTTCTGCTGACATATAAAACTTTAAGGTTTGGAGTAACATTTTTTTTTAAATTAATAAGTAATATGTGCGTCCTAATTCTTAAAAAATACATGAAACTAAAAGTGAAACAAACGTAGCACCAACAAATATTTTCAAAAAGTTTATGTTTTGTCAGAAGTTAATTCATGAAAACGAGACACTAATATACACGTAGTTAGAATAAGTTCATCATGCAAACTTGGTGCCAGCTACGAGGTATCTTGTATAAATATGAAGGGAAAAATATATGTTCACACATATTTAATAAAATATATAAAATAACTGATGTGAAAACGCAATAGTGGTTTTGAAAGGTAACAACATCGTCCACCATAAACATAATTAAATAATGCTACGTGATTCTAGCTGAGAAAAAGAGTTTTCAATAAACACCGTACTTTCACAATTATTATTGCGCCATAACATCAACATTGAGTAGGGTTGCCATACGTCGGTAATTTCCCGGATATAGCTATCTTCTTCATATTTAGCCACTTAATAATATAAAAAATATTGTAACACGACGGATGATATCGCGTACGATAAAACAAAATATAAATTATAAAAAAATCTTTAAAGTCGGCTTGGGCGTGAGTTTCGGACGTGGGACGATTCTGGGCGCCACTTCCTTTTCTCGAAAAGAAGAACTCCAAATACTGCTTCCTTATTCTCTACCGGGCTCCTTAGCCGTATTCCTTCACTGTTCTGAGCTCGCACATATATATCAAAATCTTCTCTACTGGAGACCCCAACCACCTCTATTCGCGGTTCGATCCGGTCTCCCCGAAATTCTGGAGACATCGTTGTACCTTGAAGAGTTGTTTACAGCGTTGTCAATTTACAACGTTACAATATATATAATCCTTTTTTCCTCTTGTTTGAACTGTCACAGTCCTAGTTTATACTAGATTTTAGATATTATTTTCCTTTTTGCAATTATGACCATATGTCCATAACCAAGCCTCACCTATATTTTTCTAAGTAGCCCAATTCATTGTTTGTTGTTGTTTTTGACCCTTGGTCCCATCTGTTTCTATTATCTCCAACAGCCCCTGATTACAAGTAAATTATAAGCATTATAGTACAGTGGAACCTAGCTTAACTAGCACCTCGCATAACGAGCATTTCGCTTAATGAGCAAAATGAATTGTAAAAAAAATGACTCGCTTAACGTGCGACATTTCGCATGAGTGATGATTAGAAAAGAAGTCCCGGATTGCACGCCTTCTACATCATTTTTAAAACTTGTGTACACATATTATGTATATTTTTTAATATATTAACCATCTTAGATTTTCTTTGTCATCTTTGTTTAAAACGAACTATACTTTGCGGGTCTATATTGCAAGCCCGACAACCGAAAGACCGTCTATTGAAATCCCGACTGTATCGGAATGATTTTGTTGAATTATTCATAATAAACCTTAACATTATGAAGTAATGTCAAATACAATTAGATTATTAATAGTTATTATTTATTATTAATAACAATTTGAAAGTGAATATGCTCCGGAATAATTTAAAAATGTTATTGTAGACATTTTCGTTATAGTCGGGATTTTAATATAGTCGGGATTTCAATACAGTCGGCAATTCAAACGTCGGGAATTTGATTGACGGTATTTCGATTGTTGGGCTTGCGATACTTGTGTTTTCTGTAAATGCAAAACACAAATGTATTGTGTCCAACCATTATTTTAATATATAAACACACTATGTACTTTTTTATATAAACAAATATTAAAAGTATAAAGAGACCTCCACCAAGTCCCCGAATTGATACAAGTAATATCAACAAATATAAACTCACTTCACCGTGCGTGGATTGGAAAACAGTTCATAGTGTTAG